TGACTGACTGTCTGTCTGTCTGTTTGACTGACTGTCTGTCAGTCTGTCCTCTGGGTTCAGTTGTCTCTGGTGTTCCCTCAGGTCAGGCCTGGAGCTTCTTTACATTCCAGCCAGTAAAGACGTCCATACCGTGGGGTCTGGACGGTGATGGATGCCCTCAGAGGAGTGATGTGTCACTCTACACCAGCGGCCTCGTGGGGTGAACGCACACCTGCAGGAAAACACACATGACAGACGATTGCAAACCCGTTAGGACGTGAGTAAAGTCCACGAAGTCCAGCAGCGGAGACGTCCCTCACGACTTCCTCGGCTATTTTAGGAGACGAGCTGGTGTTCACGACGAGGAGGAAGACGACAAAGAGTGACACGTTTACGAAGTTCACGAGCAGAAGCACTAAATGTGAAAATAAAATAAACTTTTGTTTTTGTCAAAACATGATCTGGAATTCTGGATACATTTTGTTTACTGTCAGTTATTATGATAAATATTTAAAAGACTAAACAAAATAAATGTCTAAAGTTCAAGAAAGGCTGAACTTTTATTTAAAATAAAAAAAATAAGTTGGTAAATTAGATAAAACTACAAAATAAAAGGTTTTCTCTGTGAAAACACAGCAAACACAGAGAGCTGAAAGACTGCTGAAATCAGCTGAAGAAGCTGATATCTTTTTATTACAGCTAAAGAAAGCAGAACCATAGCTAAAGTTAAAAAGAGCCAAAGTAGCAAGAAGTTAGTTCAGACCTAAAAATAACAATGTGGCAGTTAGAAGCTAAAAATCACAGAAGCTAACTAAAAATTAAACGGAGCAAAACAGCAGCTAAAAGCAGCAAAATGTTAGCTAAAAGTAGTGTTTCATTAAATAAAAGTAGGAAAGTTTGCTAAAAATGAAAAGTGTTGAAACGTTAGCTAAAAAACTAAAGTAGCAAAAATATATATAGAAAGTAGCAAAAAGCTAGCTCCTAGCAAGTGCTATGCTAATTGTAGCGTTTGGCTAATCTTTTGCTACGTTTAGTTTTTAGCCAGTGCCTTGCTTCTTGTAGCTATTAAATAGCCTTTTGCTACTTTTAGGTTTTAGCAAGTGATGCCATTTGTAGCTTAGCTAATCTTCTGCTAAATTTAGCTTTTAGCAAGTGTTTTGCTACTTGTAGCTTTTAACAGCCTTTGGCTACTTTTAGTTTTTAGATACCTTTTTATGACTTTAGCTTTTACCTAGCTTTTTGCTGCTTTGATTTTACCACCTCTAGTTTTTAGCCGTTAGCGAGTGTTTTACTACTTTTTTCAGCTTCCTTCAGCTTTAACCCCTCAGTTTTAGCCACTTCGGTTAGTTTCGGTGATGTTTTGAGCAGAAAACATAATTTCTTCAGTTTTATTTTCTCCGTTGGTTCGTCGTGTTTCAGCTCCGCTGCCGTTCTCTTTGATCATCTCTCGAGTTATTGTTAAATATTTGTCAGAGCCGTCTGCTCCAGTCTGCGCCACAGAAGCCAATCCTCAGGTGAGGAGGGGTCAAAGGTCAACAAGAGCCAGCACTGTGTGAGTGTTGGACTCTTCACACGCTAAAGTCCGACTAATCCACAGATCCAGCAGGACTGAGGGACCGAGACACGACTCATCGGGTGGAGATCAGTCGCTAACGGCGACAGAGCCAGAACAAACTTGTCCGATAACCCAGATTAAAACAAATTGACAATAAACCCAAACGGGATTAACTCTGAGGGGATCCTGGATGTAAACCCTTAGAAAAACACGTTCTGCTCCCGGGGACGGCACGTTGGCGCTCCGTCAAGTTTATTTAGCTATTTCTGTTGCTCTCAGCTGTCACTTTTATGTTGGCCGGGAATGTCTGCTGCCTGACAACTAATCCCCTTATATTTAAGGTGGGGGGGACAGGGGGGACTGTTCAGAATGGAGGCCACCCACCAAACCAACACACCTTTGTAGTGGAGCTGCTGAGGTCAAAGGTTAACGATGAAGTCACCCCTCTGGTGTTTTTAGTTTATTTAAGGCCGACGTGAAAAAAAAAGGAAACAACTTTCAGGAGGGTGCACCGCCGCGCCTGCGAAAGTAAAGTTTTATCACCTGCAGAAAGTGAGAGGCGACAATGCTTTTGTCTGCTTTGTTAGCAAAATATCTCACAAACCAGAGGTCAGGTTTTAGTGAAACTTATCAGAAAACAATCACCGGATGTGAAGCTGATAAACTCTTGGAGTCGACCCGATTCAAGATGGCACACACAGGCCATGACTGTCATTTTTACAAGTGTTGAGCTGAAATTTGAGCTGGTAGTAGCTGAGAGTCATCCTCAGCACATACTTTGAGAGCTAACAGGGCTTGCATCATTACAAGTGGTTTGACTAAAATGGCTTTAATTCATTTGTCATCAGGATTTCAGGTTAAAACTCTGGCCTGAAAGGCGGCGGGTGATATGCATTCATTGATTTATGAGTCTTTAGAAGTTTTAATGACGCCACAGATGATTAAATATAAGATTAATATCGATGATGGTGATAATTAAGATAATTAAAGCTCATCTGAGTTAATAATGAGTTTATTTAGCTCAAAAAAGAATAATTATAAACAACAAAAATTGCAACTTTAAAAGCCCATTTTAGAGTTAGAACGGACTTCATGCAAATTAAATACACAATTCATCAAAATGTATCGTTAGTTTAGAAAATATTTACATTAAAGCAATGGTTCCCAACTCTGGTCCCTGAGGAACACCTGCTTGTTTTAGTTGTTCCTCTGCTCCAACTCACCTGATTTGAATGAAAGGTAATTAACCAGCTTTTGCTGAACTTAAGGAAGTAATTAAACCATTGGAGCAGAGAAAATTGAAACATGCAGGATGGTGTTCCTCAGGGACCAGTGTTGGGGACCACTGCATTAAAGCAACAGATATGAGCTCTGTTTGAATTTTCCTGCAGGTTGTGTTGCAGGAAGCACACTTGTGGTGATTTGTTCCAGAAACGGGTCAGAACGCCTTCTGGACTCGACTTCTTCAAATCTGACCGTGCAGCTCGATGAGAGCAGAGCAGGACCGAGTATAAAATATAGAATCGCAACGAACATCACAAACCAAAAATAAAGCCGGGGAGTGGCCGCGCCATCTTTCTGTATGGAGGCAGACAGAAGGAGGGAGGAGGGACAGCGTCCGGCGGTCCAACTGAGCATCTGTGTTCTGGATGGCCTTATTAGTCCACGTGGGACTACATGGCCCCTCACATATCAGGTTTACTTAATTCCAAGACTCCTGGGTCTATTTTGGATCTCCTGTAAGGTGATCTCCGTCCCACCATTCTGTCTCCTTTGCTTTTGCCTCCATCCTCTCTCTCTCTCTTTTATATTGCCATCCAAACTTGAAGCTGCGCCTAAAGATAGCCCGGCCCGAGGACGGGTATATAAGCTCCTGGGAATATACGATAAACGCGGCTTCACACTATCTTCTCTTTCTTGATCATCCAAACCTCCACTTTTAACGCCTGAGGATGGTGAGTACCGGGGTTCCTGCATCCTGAGGTGGAACCACCAGTGGGGGAATACAACCAGCATCTTTTTTTCTTTTTGGGATCTTTTCGGCTTTTTGTTAATTTTACCTTGATATGGATCATAACAGCCGATGCTTGATGAACTTTTTGTGGATGTTACAGGGATTCATGTAGTTTCTGATGCTGTTTGGGTGCTAATCCGCTTACATTATGTATTGCATGTTATTAAAACCATAGTTATACAGAATTACATTGATAAATGGATGAATTATAAGCAAAAGGAACCTAATGTTTGTATTTTGGATTGACTTCTAAGTACATTTTTTGTAGATACATCCCGCCTACGATGTGTGATATTAATATCCAGCATGGACACAGCTGTCTTTGGATTAATCTTTGGATTTCTTTTGCGTGTTTGTCGCCATCCAGGCACCAAAGAAGGCCAAGAGGAGGGCAGCGGCAGGAGACGGCGGCTCCTCCAACGTGTTCTCCATGTTTGAGCAGAGCCAGATTCAGGAGTACAAAGAGGTGAGGCTGCAGAGACACACACCCTCAGTTTGTCCCATCCCTCGCTTCAGGCTCGTCTTTAACCACGTTTCGGCCGTCAGAGGCCATTCTGCGTGGGATTAAAATTAGAGCGGGCCTCGGCGGCTCTCAGATCGGTTTCCGTCTTGCGTGCCTCCTCATCTCCCAGCCTGCTTCAGTGTTTTCTTCACATTTGACCTCTGGAAGCAGCTGTCGCCTCGCACATATCTGGGGCCCGTTTAACTTTAGATGTCAGAAAGAGTGCAAAACGACGCTTTAAAGTGCGCTGCAGCTAACACGAGTGGAGTTGGAGGAGACAGGACATCATTAAGACTTGCTGTCAACAGATTGGATGTCCCAAATGGACAGCGTGCCCCCCTGAAGCGATGGTGCAGGCCATTTTTGCATGTCCAGCACATGGAAAAATACCAGTCTGGAGGAAGTATTTGGCTGGTGTGCATGTGTGTGCGCATGTGTGAGGAGGAGGGTAAGAAATAGAAAAGGAAGGTGACAGGGTCAGGGAAAAGTTTGGAGATGAAATCCTTGAGGTTTAGCTTGGGTTACAGTCGCAGAGTGGACTGGACAGCTGTTCTCCTCCCAAATTAACTTGTAAGAAAAGTCTTGGGTTGGGGGGGGGGGTATTAAGAAACCCCTCCAGCCCCTCCTAAGCCAGCTCAGCACCACGTCTCACTTCTTGGCTGCAGCTTTGCACCATATCCTCTAACACGAGTCGTTTTCACATGAACGTGCCCGGTTATTTTCCAGCTGCCGCGTCGGTACATGGACTGTAATTACTGGTATACAGCGCATTTCTGTTTTATTAAGACACTCAAAGCTCTTTACAACAATCTGTGCCCTCATTTACCCGTTCATACAGCACTCTACTGGATCTATACAAATATTTATCAGTGCTTTATTACATTCATACACTGAAGGGACACACATCAGAGTCAATGAGGGGTTCAGTGTCTTGAACCAGCATGTGACAGCTGGTGGAATCGAACCCCCAACTCTTGCGTTGGAGGGCGACTGCTCTAACCGCTCAAGCACAGTGTTGTGTTAAAGCGTTAATGAAGCTCTGAGTGTTTCTGTCCAGTAATACATTTGTTATTTTGGCTTTTATCTTCAGGCTTTCACAATCATTGACCAGAACAGAGACGGCATCATCAGCAAAGACGACCTGAGGGACGTGCTGGCCTCCATGGGTGAGCTCTCGCACCCTTCGCTCGAAGGAAACGAGCGTTTTGGTCGTGTCTCGTCTGGGTTTTTGAATTTCCGCCTCCTTCAGGTCAACTGAACACGAAGAACGAGGAGCTGGAGGCCATGATCAAGGAAGCCAGCGGTCCCATCAACTTCACCGTCTTCCTCACCATGTTTGGAGAGAAGCTGAAGGGTGGGCTTCACGTCTTTTCACCAAGGCAAACGCGTACAGATGAACATTTCTGGGGGTAAATTAATCCAACTGGGCTCCTCTTCCTCCTCTCCTCATCAGGTGCCGACCCCGAGGACGTCATCCTCTCTGCCTTCAAAGTCCTGGACCCAGAGGGTACTGGAACCATCAAGAAGGAATTGTAAGAATATTTCAATTCTAGACGTTTAGATCTTCTGACAGGTCCTTGTAGATGTTCCACGTTCTGGATTGGTCCGTGATGGAGAACGTGTTTAACTTTGCTTTGTGCTTTCATAGCACAGGTTTTAATTTAAGTTTGTATTAAAAGTGTAATATAAATAAAGTTGACGTGGTTTGATTTCCAAAGGCGTTGTACAAATGAACGTTTTAACGTCCTTTTCGTTTCGTCTTCCAGCCTGCAGGAGCTCCTGACCACTCAGTGCGACAGGTTCTCCGCAGAAGAGGTAAGAAATCTTTAAAGTCCAAATCTTTAAAGGTACTCGCTCTGAAGTCGTGGAAATCTGACATCAATATTCATAAATGGACTCAATCCTCACCGTATTTAATGCGTCCTTAAATGATAAATTGATTTTATTTCAGATTAATTTATTTTGATCGATGTAAAGGTGACCTTGAGCTTTGAATGTCGCCTATAAATAAAATATATTATTATTAAAATGGCAAAGAGCAGATTATTTTGTGAAAAATACCAAGGCTAGTTATAGAAACATTAATTAATTAAAGTGAGGAGAAATCAGGTGAATAAAATTCATTTAAAGGTGAAAAATATGAACATATTTAAAAAAAACGCACATTACAGAGCAGAAGTGACCTCAGCGCTCATAATCCGAATCCCTGTACGTTTCGAACAAGATTAAAAGACTTGTCCAGATCTATTGAACATACTGTAATAAACAAAAATTAATATTTAATATACTGCACACACAGTTCGAACCGTTTGATCCTAGACTTTTATTTTAGAGTTTGTTTCTTTTCTTTTGTTTAGCAGCAGATTAAATTTCATATTTTCACTAGACCTGCTCAGCCTAAAGTAGGTTTATGGTGGATTCATCTTTGTTTACATTCACCGTGGACCCGCACTCCAGAGCTGCGTATCAAAACATCCGGGAAACTACCGGAGTCGACTCTTCCCCGCTCAGGATTGTGTTTCTGTTTGATTTCACACTTCGCAGCGAGTACCTTTAATCCGAGTCGGGTATTTTTTGTCTGCCAGAGTTCTCCAGGCTGACGGCGTGAATTCACAAACCCCGATTTCCTCCCTCAGATTAAGAACATGTGGGCCGCCTTCCCCCCAGATGTGGCCGGCAACGTAGACTACAAGAACATCTGCTACGTCATCACACACGGAGAGGAGAAGGAGGAGTAAAGAGAAAGCCAGGAGACGAGAAAGACAGCCATCCCTCTGCTTTCTGCCCTCCCTTCTCCCTCTCCTCCTCTCTCCTCCCGTGCACCTCCTGTGTGAACCCATGAGCTCAGCCTCTCACGTTCAAACCAAAGACTTGTCACGTGTGAGACGGCTGGCGCCCACGGGCTGTCCATGTTTGCTTATGGGGAATAACGATGATTTTTTATTTCAATAAAATTATCCTGTAACATCATTTCCAACCTCAAGCTTGCCTCAGACAACCTCTCTTTTCTGCCTGAAACTCAGCCCGTCTCCAAATCAGCCGAGAGGAAACGACCACGAGGGCGTCATTCTAAAGAATGAAGACGTCCTCTTTGGTTCGAGCAGCGAGAGAATTGTCAGGAAATTTGAGAACAAAATAAAAAATAAAAAAACAACAAAGTTGCATCCTTAAAGCGATGACAGCGTTCCTTCCTTGAAAAGTGACAAGAGGCTGAAGGAGCGGAGAGAACGGGACGAAAGAAAACATTCAAGTCTTCGACTTCTTTCCCTCCGCTCCTTCCTGCTTTCAATAAATCACCTTTTTTTTCCATAAGCTGTCAAACTCAGTGACTATTGCCTTTCCTCTGTAATGAATAAAAGGGACAAAATGTGAATAAAAACACTTTACTTTTTGTACAATGTGTGCCTGTTCAGTGGCTCTGCGTAGGGCACGACTCCAGGATCATTCGGAGCCTGAAAGCTACGAAATTATCTCTAAAATGAGGTGAAAATCACCTACAATAAAAACTGAGCGTGGTTAAAAATAAACATTGTCCCTTTCAGTCTAGTCAGTTATTAATTTTTACACATACCGTACTTTTTGGACTATAAGGCACAATATCGATGAACAGGTCTGTTTTCATACATAAGGCACATTAAGCGAAACAAAACCGATAAGTCAAACTTTATTCAACTTGTTCACAATAACCACATAAAATCGGTTCGAGGTCAATAAGCACAATCAGAATTAATACATAAGGCGCACCGGATTATAAGGCTCACTGTGGATTTTTGAGAAAATTTAAGGATTTTAAGTGCGCCTTATAGTCTAAAAAAATACGGTATAAAAAGATTTATGATCACCCATCAATTTTCTGGGATCAAGAAGACAAAAACACAACATGGAGATTTAATATATTACGGTTTATTACTCATCACAACTGTCATTATTGTCATTAATTATAAATACATCAGTTTGAAATCTGAAGGAATGAACTCGGCGAGCTGATTTTACTTCACTTCCACCAGAGAGTGACATGTAAACTTAAAAAAAACACACAAAAGACAAGTGGCAAAAAAAAAAACAGCTTTCTTTTTGCTTTAATTTATTTTTGTTTGCATCAGCCGCTCCCAAATCAAGTCCCAAACAACCGATGGAAACAAATCTTTTTTAACCCCCCCGTATTGCAGAGCCTAGTGTCCAACTCTCAGAACAAAGACACGGTGCCGAGACATGAGCCAGGTGGAGGTATTGCTCGCGAACGGGCTGTAAAGTCCACAGACCGAAGCACAGAATTAAGTTCATCGTGGCACCAATCTTGATTAAATCAGTGCTGCTGCTGCGCACGATGCGTCGTAACGGAGGAAGGTTTGCATAGACGTGTTTGGATCACACAAAACTGATGAACGGCGGCTTTAAATCAGGGCTATTCAACTAAACTGCTCAGGGGGCCACAGTTACTGGAAGCCACGAGCTCAGGGGGCATACATCCAGCAGTTAACATGAGTTTGTTTTATAATTTTAAATCTAGTTTTAATTAAAAATAAACCCAATGGTGGGCCGAACTGAGCACACCCGCGGGCTTGTTTTAGCCCCCGGGCCACCAGTTGAATAGCCCCCAAAATGAATAAAAAAGCAGACTGACAGGAAAGTCTCACTGATTGTTAACCAACAGTACAGTTAGAGCGCGGATGTGTTTGGGGGGTGTATTTTGCCACGACCATCGAGCCAGCACGGGGTTCGGCGCTGGTTCATGTACGAGTTACAGTCGGCAACACGGAGTGTAAAAACGTTAAAAGATAAGTCGTTAAACAAACGGGTCAGACGAACTGAGCACAACGAAGGTTTTCCAGGTTCAGTACAGACGCTCTGTCCGAGTCACTCGCCTCGGTTTGTTGTTTTCTAATACTGTCCTCCCAACGAACAACGCAAACTTAAATAAAACGACGTGCGTCGAGCTCGACGTGTAAAAGCAGAGGATGTGACGTGCAAAAACAAAAACAGATCCTGCTGCTCCGCCGTTCCAGTCCACCAGGTGTCTTGGATAGAAAAATAATAATTCATAATATACTATATTTGACCACTTTGTACATAAATACACCAAAGGTCAAAGGTCGGGGGGGGGGGGTTCATGCTACATTGGCACCTCTCCCGTTCAAGCGGCTTCCTACAGGTCCTCGAAGAGTTCGTCGCATGTCGACACTTCGTTTCATCCCCACCGTGACTACGCTCGGCGGAGCAAGTGCAAAACTCGTCCTTCTTTTAAGAAATTCTTAAAAATGACGTTCTGACGCGTACTTTGAACGACAATACTAATTTTACAGAAAAAAAACAACATTTGGTTTGACTAAAAGATGCTCGTAGGAGGGGGGGGGGGGGGGGGGGGTAAGTACGAGATCTGTTATAAAGATAAAATGAAACAAACTGCAGATCTGAAATAAAAAAAACACTTTAATTTTTACGATTTAAACTAAACCGTTAAAAAAAAGACCACTTCTTTACGCCGTCTGTGTCACTCGTACCCCCCTCCCTGCATCTGCGCCACTCGCTACAGGTTAAAGTGAAATCTGTGAAGAACCACAACAAACGGTTCGGTTAGTTTGAAATGAGAGAAGCATGAAGAGGCCACGCTGAGAACATTTACACGTTTCACTACACTACTAAGACTCGCACGACGTTTACCGGACAATAAATACACGCTGAGCATCACAACGAGCGGTTCAGTCTTCAGTGCTGACGCTTGAGATGATTTCAAGGTTGTTGGGTTTTTTTTTGTTTCTATCAAATATCCAGTTGTTTCCACAGAGGAGTGTTTTTAGGACCTTAAATACTGAAGCTACACTTTTTTTTAATTTTTTTTTTTAAATTGACCATTTCTGGCACTATTTCTAAAAAGAGTTTGTGATCAAAACATAAAATAAAACCAGTATGAAAATAAAACGAAGGTTGACAGCCTGCGCTCCAGCTGAAACGGTTTGTCTAATAAAGTCGTTAAAACTAAAACACTGCGGACGAGAGGTCAAACGCCCCTCCAGGTGCTTTTGAAACCAGCTCCGCCGCAGCTGTTAACCCACATCACACAGGAGGCCGCCCCAACTTTCACAAGAACGACTTTTTTCTGTTGCTGGAGGTCTTTGATCTGTTTGACCTCTTTTTGTTCAGCCTCCCTTTTCTTCATCCTGGAATGACGGGGGGGTACAACGAGCTAAAAGACAAAAACTAGGCCGATTCTTTCGCGGCTGCAGCTCCGTTTTTGTCCTCTGCCTCTCCTCCCCCTTTGTCTTTTTTCTTCCCCCCTTTCTTTTTCTCCTTTTCTAGCCTCTCTTTCTCCTTCTTGAGCCGCTCCTTCTCGGCCTTCTCCTTCTCCTTCTTCTCTTTCACCTTTTTCTTCTCGTCCTCCTTTTCCTTCTTCTTGTCTTCTTTGCTTCTCTTCTTCCTCTTCCCCTCTTCCTCCGCGGAGGCCGCCGGCGCTGCTTCCTTTTGGGACTCTGGACACGGCTGCAGGGGGGCGTTGTTGGCGGTGGGAGACGGGATAGACGGAGTGATTTGCTCGGAGACGATCACGGGGGTGGGGGACAGAGTGTTGGGCGGGGGGGTGTTGTGGATGGGGGCTGAAGAAGCAGGCTGGCTGCGAGTTGAGGTGCTCTCCGCAGTTTGCCGGGGCTCTTGGGATGATTCAGCCCCAACTAAGGGACTTTGAACATGGGGTGTTGTCGGCTTCTGACCCGGAGGAATCGGTGGTTTCTGGCTGGGGCCTCGGCTCGAGCTTCCAGGTGGAGACTGAGGAGGCGGGGCTTCAGTGCCTGAAGTGCCTGAAAAGGAGCTCTTAGTTTGGGCGTAGAAAGGAGCCTTAGACCTCCGGAAGCCAGGGAGTGAGAGAAGGCTGGAGGAAGCCCTGAGGGGTCCTGGTGGTGGGACGGAGCTTCCCAGGAACGAGAGGCTGCCACCAGAGCTGATGGAGGCAGCGCGTCGCTTATGCTCGTAGATAGCTCTTGTGCCATGGAGGCGACGGCCGGGCTGGTGCATCAGCTCCCCCCTCGACTCTCTCCATTTCCTCACCTGGATGCTGCACTCCCTCTCAATGAGAGCCTCGGTGACGGGGAGCAACACGATCTGGACACGAACGCACCAACAAGAGCCAGACACGCAGAGGAAGTTAAGTCTTCGCATGAAAAAGTGACTCAGAGCTCGTGAGTAAAAACAGAAGCAGCTCCCAGACAGAGACTCACCTCCTGGACCAGAACGTCCTCTCGGATGGTGTCAGGTGAGATGTTCCTGAGGCGCTCCATTGTCTCGTACATGCCCTGAAGCTCCCGCAGTTTATCCACGGAGCCCAGCATCTGTTTGAGCAGCACCAAGCCCACACGAAACACTATCTTCACTCCTGCAACCACAGATGTGAAATTAGGTTTCTGTCAAACAGCAAGAAAAACATTACTTTAACAAAGTCATCAGAAATGTTCACGCCAACATGTCTTTTGTAACCAACAGTAAAATTAAAGGCGTGCGCTGCTAAGTCTAAAATAAACAAGTAAAAAAATTTAATCTGCACATTTTTTAAATCATATTGATGCTTCAATTTAAAACAAAAACGGCGATGGAAAAACTGTGACTGCACGATTAACGTCGAGGAAGTCACTCTGCAAACAGCCGACGTAACTGAAAATAGATCAACAAACATGGCGTCCATGGAGGAGCAGTTTGGGATGGAGAAGTTGGACAACTTTGATGTATCGGTGCAGATTTATGCTCAGGTTCGATGAGTAATTTATGCAGATAAAAAGCTACGTTAGGTATGATTAAAACGGTATCGGTTTAAAAGAAGCAAAAGCTGAGTTTGTTTGAACACTCCGTTTCTATGGCTTAATCCCCAATAACATAAATTTATACACACACACACACACACACACACACACACACACACACACACACACACACACACACACACACACACACTACCCGGCCCAAAAAAAAAGTTGCCACCTGGATTTAACTAAGCAAATGGGTACGAGCCTCCTATTGGATAATTACTGCACGAGCGATTATCTTTCAGCTGCAACGAGTTATTTAACCCCAACTGGTGAAATGAGTTGCTTCTCATTTCTTAAACAACCATGTGGAAAGACACATCGTGTGGTCGTGGAAAAGATGTCCGTCTGTTTGAGAAGGGTCAAATCATTGGCATCGAGAAGAGAAAACATCTAAGGAGATTGAAGAAACTGCTAAAATTGGGTTAAGAACTGTCCAACGCATTATTAAAAACTGGAAGGACAGTGGGGACCCATCGTCTTCGAGGAAGAAATGTGGCCGGAAAAAAATCCTGAATGATCGTGATCGACGATCACTTTAACGTTTGGTGAAATCAAATGGAAGAAAAACACCAGCAGCACTCAGGGCTGTGTTTAATAGTGAAAGTAAGAGCATTTCCACGTGCACGATGTGAAGGAACTCAAGGGATTGGAACTGAACAGCTGTGTAGCCTTAAGAAAACCACTAATCAGTGAGGCTAACTGGAAAAAAGCTTCAATTTGCTAGGGAGCATAAAGATCGGACTCTGGAGCAATGGAAGAAGATCATGTGGTCTGATGAGTCCAGATTTATCCTGTTCCAGAGTGATGGGAGCATCAGGGTAAGAAGAGAGGCAGGTGAAGTGACGCACCCATCATGCCTAGTGTCTAGTCATCAACGCAAGATCTTGGTGAAAAATTAATGCAACACTGGATGAAATAGATTTTGTGACATTGAAGAAGTTTATTGAATCAATGCCACAGAGAATGCATGATGTAATCAAAGCTAAAGACGGTCCAATGAAATATTAGTGTGTGACCTTTTTTTTGGACAGGCAGTGTGTGTATGTATATATATATATATATTTTTTTTTTTTTTTGACAACTACCGGTTGGTGTATATGTTGTTCCTGCACCGCACCCCACCCCCGCCCCCACAAATATTGACCATTAAAGTGCATTTATTAAGGAAAACGTTAAACTAAGACACACCTTTGCTATAATGTTGAGCAAACAAATAATCGTTCTTAAGTGTTAATCTTGTTAAATTTCGAAGAACTGCAATAGCAAGTCCTCCCGTGAGCGCTCCCGCAGCAGCCAATCGATTTTTGGCACAACACCGGCCCACGCTTCACGGGGGTCAGCAGTGACGCATAATAAACGCAACTTATACGCCGAAGCGACTTATAGATGTTTTTTTTCCTCTTCATGATGCTTTTATTGACTGATGTGACTTGTACGTCAGAGAATACGGTATATATATACACTGTATGCAGTAAAACCTTTCAAACTGCATCGCTTCATTTAGTTCAGGGTTATGTTTGATTGAGTATATTTTACATTTCATTATTTATTATTTAAGTTTACCCCAAGTTAAAGGTCACAGGCGTTGAAGTTTACCTTCACAGAAAAACATATCCCACACACGCAGGACCGAGGACCACGGTAACGTGCGTGAGAAGATGCACATGAACCACTCAGTCATGTAGAGAATCGGATCGATCTTGAACTTCTTAAGATGGCGGTACGCCATGGGGCACGTACGCCTCAGAAGAGAAAAGAAGATCTCGCCATCGAGCTGAATCGCTTCCTGAAACGAGAGAAGAAAGGCACGTCAATAAATCGGAGAAAGTCTCAGATTCAAAACAGACGGCGTGTGTTTTTCGCCCACCAGCCCGGCGCTGTAGTAACCAGGAAGATACTTCTCACAAATCTGGACGAGGCACCAAAACGCTTGCTGTAAAACACAAACAAGAGAAGTGCATACGGCACATTATACACACGTGGACAAACTATTATACAGCAATCTAGAGCAATGGTCCGGACAAGCCTTTGACCTTGATCTGTGACCTTGACAAGAGAACGTTTAGGTACATACAGACTGATGAATTGACTGAAGTCATACCATAATAAGTCTGCCTTTCGACACGATGGTAAAAGGTTACTCTTGTTCAAACAGCTACACTTCAGCTTTTACTTCATTATTAATTCCTCACAGTCAAATCAGCTGATTTTCTATAATATTTATAATTCTGCTGCTTCTTTTGTCTTTTCCATCCTGCAGCTGTGCCATTAAATAAATTAAAGAACAGCCACTTCAAAACTCGCATCAACAAATTACGGTCCTGAAAAACCAATTAGAGGACAGTTTGATAAAGTGCGCTCCTAAAATGATTTTAATGCTCAACATAAAACTTCTATTAAAGAATCAAGGCTCAGCCTCTTTGTCCTTGTGTTCAAATGAAATCTGCGACTTTCTACATCGGTGAAACTTTATTCAGCTACGTTTGATTCTCTCGCTCTGCCCACGCTCTTCTGTTGTGTGTAGGTTGAGTAGAAACAAAAAGAAATCAAGGTTGGACTCAAATCTTTATGATCTTTAAGTAAACGTTAAGCGTGACTGCATTCATTCTAAAAGGTAAAAACAAACATCTATAACTGATGATGGTAAATTAATTAAACCTTCAGGTATTTGCTGCAGAGCACTGTTTTATTTGCCATCTCAGAAGCTCTCACCTCTGCAGGCATGTGCATCAGCAGCACCGCGGCCACAGGAGCCTGGGCCTGGCAGTAGCCCTCATCGGGCCGGTACACGGTGTAGGCCTTCAGGATCCTGTACAGATCCTGTTGCCTGCAGGAAGAAAAGCCTCAAAATTACCCAACAGCCAACATGAGAGTCTCTGATGTGAAAACCCCCCATTTGTAGATGAATCCAGATGATTACAGATTATACAAGTTTTGAAATTTTCTCTTTTTTTCTCAATATTAGTCAAATTACGCGGGAAACCCTATGATGTGTTTGTTCTCATTTTTAAGCATATTTAATTTTACCCATGACCGCCACGAGCAGCGAACATCTCATGGAAGGGGAACTGCCTGTGAAGATCCTTCTCTATAATGTCCAGCCATTTAGCCTCGCCCGGATCTCGTTCCAGCTCCTGCAGTTAAAAAAAACAAAAAAAGTTTTAGTTTAACTCTCGGATAATTCTAGATTTAAAAAAAGCCGAGAAAGAACATGATGCAGTAAGTACTGTGATATTAACACAGTTTAAAGAAAAGCCTGAACAGGTGGAAGAAAAACGTCTTCTTATATTACAGAAACACCGAGTCTCAGGCCCAGACAAGACCAGACCCTTAAAGCTCGGACAAAGAGGCAGGACCCTGACCAGGTGGATTACTGGTCCACATAAGAGGCTTACAGCTTATTTTGTCTGCAGTCCTTTAGTACCTTTTGGAGCTAAAATTGTCCAACTCAACCCCAAATTTCAGCTACTCTGACCCCAAGTTCAAACTATTTTATCAAAACATAGGGTTTGATTCACTGATGCCGAGAAGTACAAAACAACATGTGAGAAATTGTGAAAAACAAGTTCAATTATGACTAATTTGTTTCTGAAGTGGAGCTTAGATAGTGTTGAATTTAATACTAAAATTGAACACTGTTGGTGAGTAAAAATTGCATTACCTCAAATTTTCCAGGGTTGGCCATTAAAAGCTCCTCACTGTTGGACAACAGCTGCCAGGCTCTGGCCCTGAGAGAAGAAGGAATGCCCTTCCTGCAGCGCAGCTTCACCTGCAGTGCACAGACAAAGCATTAGCCAACACCTCGTGTCAGGTACGACAGATCTAAATCCATCCTGGTTGCATCCAAGCACAGAAATCACACATCTCGTTCTTAGCCCAGCTCTACAGCTGCTGTGTATACGTACCTTCATGAAGCGATGCTTGATCCACTTATCCCAGTGACAGAACATGTCCAGCCATTTCATCTCCCTCTGCCTGGCAACTTCAACACGAACGTCCTTGTCGCTGCAACACAAGTTAGCCTCGTTACCACTCTAACCCTCCCACACCTTTAAATTCTTAACTATGTCAATTATAAACATGTAATTATACAATCAAAAGTAGTATTAGACTTCTCTCAGATAATTTTAAACAGTGACCAGAGTTCACTGGCTAAATTCAAGGTAGATCAATAAAAAAAAAAGGATCATTTATCAATAAAAACTCAATTAGCCAGATAAACTGGCCAGTATGATTAAAAACAATAGGAAGAAAGCAGCTGGGTGTGGAGGGGGAAACTGCACACACACAGTCAGTTCATCGTGAGTCACAAAAGCGCTCTCAGCATTATCTGAGTCAGATCAAGGAGAGATAAAGGACAAACAGATACGTTTTAATTCAGCACAGAAGAGGAAAACAGAAAAGAGTCTGAGTCTGACTGGATGGAGCAAAGGAAGCCACTTGAGCAGAACGTATGTTTAGTTGTGAAAACCCTTTAGGTGACCTAAAAGGCCACAATTAATTTGTGCTTCAGAGAAAACATGACTAATCCTCAGCTATTGTTTCCACAAAAGCAGGAAGTGTGTGTGATTGTTGTACGGCTCACCTCCCTTCACTGTACTGACTCCCGCCCAAGAAGCCATATTTATCAGTGCGTCTGGAAGTTAGACCGTTGATCTCCGAGTCTGAGCCGATAGAACTCCCATCTTCTCCCAATCCGGACAGGGACTCCAACGTTCCTGACATCAGGCTGGCTGATTCTAGATAGCTGAGGTTGTCGGGGGCCGGCTTTCGATTGGCGTTCGGCAAGGGGAAGGTCGGTTCGTGGATCAGGGGGACAGTAGGGCTACACTGTCCAGCTCTGCTCGGTGTAGTGGGCCATTCTTCCTTCCTGGCTTGACTGGAAGGATCAGGCTTTGGGGACAAAGGAGCAGGAGGCTCAGTTTGAGGTTTTTGTGCTTGTTGGAGTGGCCGAGGTTTCTCCTCATCCGTTGTTGATGTTGCTGAAGATGCAGGTGTGGGGTTGTAATCTACACTCTGGGTAAACTGACCATTATCCAGAACAGGGTTTGGGTTAGAACTGACATTCTGGTTAGGACCAGGATTTAGGTCTGGAGTTGGGGAAACCTGCAGCACCGTTCTCTGAGCTGAGGTTTCTGCTGCCAGTTCTGAAGGTTTATTCAAGTGTTCTGCAACAGCTTGGTCACCGCCCACCGTTTCCAGCTTACTAATGTTAGCTCCAGTCTCTGTTTTATTCCCTGCTGATTCCCCTGTTTGAGAAGAAGCTTTCTGTACCAGAGGTGGGGGAGAAGTTTCAGAAGCAAGCTTCGTGGGACTTCTAGACTGGTTGGGAGTCAGAGGTGAACCTCCTGAGAATGCAGCAGGAGTGCTTCCAGTCAAAGCTTTGTCGTCGTAAAGGGAAGACTTGGGAAGGGGAGTCTCCTTGACCGAGTCAGCAGCAGGTTTGGTGGAACGGGGCAGCACTGATGGAGATGGAACCATGGGTGGAGCTCCATGAGGATCACCCAGTGGAGGTGGTGAAGAAGATAAGGTGGACAGCTCAGCCATTGCTCCACTCTGATCTCTAGTTGTCAAACGAAGAAGAAAAAAGATGAGTTTTTGTTATCTAGAGAAACGGTGTTCATTCAGTCATAACAACAGTAATTAATATTACTTTGAATATTTTATGTAAATTGTTAAACTTAAGCTTGTAGTGTTTTTGTAGAACAAATCTAGGCTGTAACATTTAGTGGTACAATAAAAAAAAAACAGCTGAAAGAATATTTTGCAACTAATCAGGTTTTTTGAGAACAGTTCAGTAAAACGACTGGGTAAAAATAAAAGAGCATTTTAGTGGCTGAATCTCAGAAGTAAATAAAGGCAGAGGTCTGTTATCAGCAACCGTGTTGCCAAATAAACCAAAGCGTTACAAATGCACAACAAAAAAAAACACTATTTTTTTATTTATGCAACCATCCACATCATTTTCATCAGAAAGACCGCAAGCTTGTCAAGCACGCAACCCCATCCTCTACTGAGTGCACATTTTGCAACAATCACAACACACCCCTCTCCCTCCCCTGGGGAGGTGCTCATCCCCCACTTCTACCAGCACTGTAAAATTGCACCTTAATTCTACACATACAATAGTTTTGGTTAAAATATAATAGTTTTAAAGAGACAGAAGATAGCTATCATTTCTCAAATGGCAAACCTAATCAGTGCACGGTTCAGTATTTTGCTTCTCTAATGGTATGGGTGTGCATTAGTGCCTTAGGCAATGGCAGCCTACGCATCTGGAAATGCAAGAACATATATGAAGGTTTTAGAATAACATCTGCTCCTATCCAGAACTGTTTAACAGCTAGAATCTGAGCAGAACGAGACAACTATCCCTCCAAAACCTCTAACAACTGGTCTCCCCAGGTCCTGGACATTCACTGACTGCTGTTAAAAGAAGGGATGTTCCACAGTGGAGACCTGGAACAACTTTACTGTGATGTGCTGCTGCCATAAAACTCAAAATGACCAACAAAACAAACTTAATGTAAACAAAAAAAATGTGTTTGCAATGATCCATTCTGAATAAAATATAGGTTTAGAGTGACAAGCTGGCACACAAAATCAAAACACCAGCTCCGGTGTGCATGCGATGCTACTTTGCAGAAATGTAGCTGACGAAACCAACCACAGCATCACTTTTAGTTGCATCAGTATAATGTGCAGGTGCATCACCGACAAAGCGGATCCAGCTTTTTGATGATAAAGCAGGACCAGAGTTTGTCCCAGACACACATCGATAAGCTTCTGCAGCACTCTTTGTTGTCATATTCTCTAGACGCCGAAACAACCCAACTTCCCGATTCAAGGCTAATGGTTCGCTAATAGCTGACAGTTAACACCCTCTTTGCCCGGCGAGGCCCTGTGGCAGAGCAGCGTCCGCGGCCTCTCCCTGCCCACTGCCGCGGTCAACCACAACTTCACCTCCGCTGCCCAACTCACCAACAACCGGCGTGTCACTGCGATCCGTACGCCTGGGGAGCCAGGGGGTTCGTGCCGACTCGTCCCCACCCCACCCCCGCCACAGCTTCAAGTTGAGTTCCGCAACCTCCCGTTTGACGAGAACACGAAAAGAGCCGATGGCGGAGCCGCTGAACGGGGCGAGCAGCTACCGGAGCGACCGTCCTGCAGGCTAAGTTAGCTTGTGTTAGCCTGCTGACGTTAGCATCAGCGCTGTTAGTGTTGTTTCTGTTAGCCTAGCTAACGTCTCAGCTAGAAAGGCCGACTCGCTGCAGCCATCCTCACCAAATCAAAGCCAGCGGCTAATAAGGCTCTTCATTGTGAACGGAAACGACTCTTTCTCATTATTTGTGTCCAAACAGAGGCAGGACCGCATCCAACACCGACAGCCTGCATTTCCTACTGACAGCTACGTGCGCGCTCCCGTCAACCTCGTCAGGCACGCACACGTACAGGACAGGACCCTCCCTTCACCATATAATAGTCTGCTTAAACATGTGTATATTTTAATGGTTGGTCAGTTTCGAAATCTTTTCCAATATGCATCGTTCATGTAGATTTAGTACTGTTAAACAATTAACTATTCATTTTAAAATGTCCACCATCTCCAGGTACTCAAACTACTTTGTTGGAGTAGTATTTTGTACCACTAGATGGAGAGATTTCCTAACGAAAAGCTCCATGAACCCAAAACACATGGATTCTGAAAGCACGCGCTTTGTTCCCATTCATGCTACTGTTTTAATTTAAACACTGGAGTTACAAAATTAAATGTTATGATTGTCAGCATCACTGTTAATGCACAACATTCTTTGATTGGTAATCTGCTCTTTTAGTTTTCAGTTTCAGTCAACTTCTTTTAGCTAAAATAGTATATATATATATATATATATATATATATATATATATATATATATATCAGCTACTGAAATAGGAACACGTTGTGATTTTGTAATTAATCCTTTTTTCCTCTATGGTTTTAAAGCATCTTTCTGCAGATTTATTCATCAATCAGTTTTCACATTGAATGTTCGCAGGAAATGCAACTTCTCCAGTCTTAACTTTGTGTTTCTAGTGTGACTCAAAACTTATTTACATTCAAATGTAATTTGTTTATGCTGTTTTGTCTCAGTCTAATGACTTCTACATTATTTTTTTAAGAAGAAGAGAACGGTTTATTTGAACTTATTCTTATAATTTGGAGTTTTCCCCGGTAGATGAGAGGGTGCAGCTTCCCTTCACCTTCGGGTGGGGGGACGGGCTCTGATTGTGTTTGTGCCTATGCACCAAACAACAGTTCACAGTATCCGGCCTTCTTGGGGTCCTTGGCGGGGGTGCTGGAAGGTGCGCCAACTGGGGACTCCTTTATTCTGCTGGGGGACTTCAATGCCCACGTGGGTAATGACAGCGTGACCTGGAGGGGCGTGATTGGGAAGAATGGCCTCTCTGATCTGAACCCGAGCGGTGCTCTGTTGTTGGACTTCTGTGCTAGTCGTAGTTTGTCCATGACGAATACCATGTTCAAACATAAGGGTGTCCATAAGTGCACTTGGCTCCAGGAGGTCGTAGATCGATGACTGACTTTATAGTCGCGTCATCTGATTTGCAGCTGTTTGCTTTGGATACTCAGGTGAAGACAGGAGCTGAGCTGTCAACTGGTCAACACCTGGTAGTGAGTTGGGTCAGATGCCGGACAGATCTGCAGACTCGGTGGTGGACACTCCGCATTAGGGAGGCTGTCGAGCTGAAGAAGGAGTCCTATCAGGCCTTGTTGGCTGGTGGGACTCCAGAGGCAGCTGAGGACTACGGGAGGGCCAAGCGGTCCGCAGCCTTTGCTGTTGCTGAGGCAAAAGCTTGGATGTAGGAGGAGTTCGGTGAGACCTTGGATAAAGACTCTTGGTCAGCTCCGAAGAGATTCTGGCAAAACATCAGGCGGCTGAGGAGGGGAAAGCTCTTTACTAACACTGTATTCAGTGAAGGTGGGGTGCTGTTGACCTCAACCAGTGATGTCGTCGGGAAGTAGAATACTTCTTGGATCTTCTCAATTCCATCGGCACGTCTTCCATGGAGGAGGCAGAGTCAGGGAACTTCGGGAATGGTCCGTCCATAATGGTGGCTGAATCAAGGCAGTTAAAAAGCTCAGAGGCAGCGGGGCTCCAGGGGTGGACGAGACTGTAAATGAGATTGGATGAGCTGGGATGAGAATCAGCACCTCCAAATCTGAGGCCATGGTCCTCAATTGGAAAAGGGTGGATTGTTTTCTTCAGGTCGAGGGTGAGGTTCTGCCTCAAGTGGAGGAGTTCAAGTATCTCGGGGTTTTGTTCACGAGTGAGGAAAGGAGTGTGAGATGGACAGATAGATTGGTGCAGCATCTGCAGTATTGTGGACTCTGTGTCGGCCCGTTGCGGTGAAGAGGGAGCAGAGCTGTAAGGCGAAGCTCTATGTTTATCTGTCGGTCTACGTTCCTACCCTCACCTATGGTCACGAGCTCTGGGTAGTGACTGAAAGAATGAGATAGTGGATACAGGCAGTTGAAATGAGTTTCCTCTGCATGGTAGCTGGACTCTCCCTTAGAGATAGAGTGAGAAGTTCAGTTACCCGGGAGAGAATCGGGAGTAGAACCGCTAGGCACTACTCCCCATCGAGAGGAGCCGGTTGAGGTGCATGTCCGACTGGGATGAGACCCCGGGGAAGACTCAGGATACACTGGAGAGACTACATCTCTCTGTTGGCCTGGGAACACCTTGGAGTTCTCCCAGAAGAGCTGGAAGAGGTGGCTGTGGAAAGCGATGTCTGGACCCCCCTGCTCAATCTGCTGCCCCCGCGACCAGACTTCGGAAAAAGCGGAAGATAATGGATGGATGGATGAATAAACTTTCAGAAAAGCCTGTGGAAACATTGCTCAACACCACTTTTAAAATAAAACATTTCCCAGAAAGCAGAATATAAATAAACCAGGAACGATTCTAGACTTTTCCACGATTCGTCAGGTTTTTGACGACAAGCAGGAACACGACACTGAAACCATGACAAAAAAAAAAACAACCCACCCATATTTGAACTGTTGTGAAAGTTTTTATAATTTCTTTCCACTCTTTTTCCTCCTCGGGTCTGTTTTGGTTACGGCTGCGAAGGAAAATCTCCAAACCGGGGGACACCCAACAATGACGGCACAACATTCCAGTATTTTAATTTAGTTTAGTGCGTGACTCAGACAAATGACTAAATGTAATCCAGCTGCTTGTTCAGCTGGCCCAATAAACAATAACCATGTTTCCATGGCAACCAGAGGCGGAGCCAACTGTAGTGTTGACAACTGAAGAGAAAGACAATCAAAACAAAAACTTTTAGATTTTTATGATGGGTTTCCAGGTGGAGCACATTTTAACATATTTATTTTGCATCATAGAGTAAGATTTTATATATTATATAAATAAAAATAGAACTATAACAATGTTCCTTGTAAAAAAAACTAAAAATAATTTACAGAGAAATTGTATTTTCTGTAAAAATAAGAGTGAATCCTGAGCACTGAATGACGTTACTGAAGTACGGTAAAGAAGCTGAAACTGAACTGTTAAAGCTAAAAGAAGAAAAACACTAAGCAGCAGCAAAATGCTAGCTCAAAGCCAAATTTAGTAAAATTCTAGCTAAAGTTATAAAAGCAAAACACAACTAAATGCTAAAAGTTGCAAAAGTTAGCCAAAAGAAGCAAAAATATTAAAGGCTAACTAAAAACAGAAAAATACAAACTAAAAGCTAAATGTGGCTAAACGCTAAATAAAAGTTAAAGTAGCAAAACCTGTATAAAATTAAAAAATGGCAAGACAGTAACTGAAAGCTAAAACTAGCAAAACTGTAGTCAAAAATCCCAAAATGCTAAATAAAAGCTAAACCACGAAAAAGGTCAGCTAAAAGCAAAAAACATCAAAATGCTAGATAAAAGTTAAGGTAGCAAAAAGCTTTCTAAAATGTAAAAGTAGCAAAACATGCTAAAAATTAAATACTAAAAAAGCTAAAAGTAGCAAAGACCAGTTAAAAAGCAAAATACTGGCTAAAAGCTACAAGTCACAAAAGCTAAATACAGAAATTATTAAAGCTACAAGTTATAAAAAGGCTACCTATAAATAGAAAAAACTCTGGGTAAAACCTAACTAGAAAAAGCTTTGGCTACATTAGCAAAAAGCTTGCTAAAAGCTAAACGTAGCAAAAGGCCGGCTAAAAAAAAAGAGTAGTAGAAGCTAAAAGTAGCTCAAGAAAACAAAAACGGAGCAGGTGCACTGAGGTACGCTCAGTTTTTAACAGAATAAAGTTTTGAAGGAATTTAAAGAGACATGAATGCATTTCTTTTGAAATAAACATTTGAGTTAAACATGTAGAAAATTATAAAACAAGTGAGAACACCCAGACTTGAGACTTGAATGTTTAAACAGCACATCTTCAGAAGTTATTATTAAAAAAAAAAAAAGGTCCAGAAAAGAGAAAAAGGCTGAATTCACACAATAAAAGGCCATAGAGCTTTTATTTAAAATTACAAAAACTACATACCATATTTAAATATTATATATTAAAAATACAAATTTCAATGCTTGTAAAATGGTTTTACTTCTGTCATAACTGAAAAATACTGAATTATTCTGTTACACACTTAAAAAAAAAAAGGAAGATTTTCTTATTTATAGCCGAGCTATAAACACAAACTGCTGTGGTCTGACCAACACTCGGCACGCAGTTAGCTTAAAAAAAAAAAAAAAAAAAAGTCTCATATTTAAGAAAAATAATTTAATATTTTTCTAACATTTTTCAATAAATCTGGTCGTATTAATATTTCAGATTTAATTTCCTGCATTTCCACAGTAAATACGACATTTTTCTTTTTTGAGAACAATGCTTGGAAAGATTCAGTGCTCCGGGAGCTCAGTTAAAGATGGATGGATGGATCGAGCCATCATCCATCCATCCATCCATCCTCTTTACCCACTTCCTCCTTTTCGGGTCGCGGGGGTCACTGCGAGAGGTGGGGGACACCTGGACAGGTCTCCAGTCCATCACAAAGACGCAACCTCTCACTCACACCTAGGGACGATTTAGAGCTGACAATCAGCCTAACATGCATGTTTCTGGTCTGGGGGAGGAAACCAGAGATATATCTCAAAACCGCAGGACGGATTGTGATGAAACACTTAAAGAAGTCTTTGGATAAACGTCTACAGCTGATTTACTTTTGACGCCAACCCATTTCAGCCTGATCCCCGCAGCCAAATGACATTGGGAAACACAAAAACGTGCACAGTTTGGACAAACGTTTAATCATGCATCCATTCCTTCAAAGAACGTTGGGCATTCAGTGTTTGCTTAATTTCCTGTAAAGTCAATTATCTGCAGGTTTCTGTGGTTCTGTGATCCTGGTGGTCTTCAGAGCAGCATCTGGTGTGTGCTCCGCAGAGGCTCAGGTTACATTAGGAGTCTTTGGGGTTTTCTGAAGGAAACGTGCCGACCCATTTCTGCGTTCGCGCTAAACACTGATCCCAGTCGTAGAGGGGTCGATACTGGAAGAACCTCTGAGCTTTGTCGGTCTGCACCGTGAAGGTGGTGCTGGCCACAGCCAGGGTGTAGCGGTTCAGCAGCGGGGTGTAGTTGTAGACCGGACTCAGCGCCCAGCGGAGGAGGTCGTTGAACATGGCCAGGAACCAGAGGATCACGGCGGGCATGCGCATCTTCCTGAAGTTGAACGCCGAGAGCAGCTTCATGTTGAAGTCCTCGTAGCTTTTGTACGGCGAGTCGTCGTAGCAGAAGAAAGCTTCGCCTCCGACTTCCTGAGGCTTCTCCCTGAGGGCTCGAGCTGCAAGAACGTGCATCCAAGCAACGTTGCCTAGAGAGACAAAAACAAGGAGCCAAGTTTTCATTCCGAGATTCTGTTCAGCTACTTCGGGCTTTTAGCTAGTGTTTCTGCTTCTTTTAGCTTTACAATTCAGCTTCAGCAAGTTTGATCAAAGACACCAGGCACTGGATTTTCTCAGAAAACACCAATTCTCAGGTTTAATATAGAAAATTGATCAATTTTTATTTTACCAATCGTAACAACCGAGGCCAATTGTGAACTAGAAGTTTATCTTGGGTCCTCACAAACCTGTGGTTAACATTCGTCAGCCATAAATGAACAAAACACGTACAGATCTACATTAATATATCAGGATGTATAAGTTAAACAACGTAAATATGTAAAATACACTTCAACATGTTAACATCGTCTGTATCTTTAGGTTACGGCTCTTCTACAGCCTCGGTTCAAAGCAGCTCTTTAGTTATTAGCAGCTTAGCGACACAGCTGATGTAAAAATATATCAGCTTCAAAACCTTCTGAGAATTTAGGAGGAAGTGTCGTTTGAAGTTTTCAGTTTTTAATGAGGTTCCTTTTTTACTTTAAATGCCTTTAATTTATTTTCAAGAGAGAACTGAGAATAGATTCTTGCTTCCTAAAAACTCGTCTTCAGTAGTTTTACCTGCATAAACCCTCCCGTGTTCAATGTGGTCCGGGATGCCCCCGATGACCAAACCTCCTCTATCAGCAGCCTGTTGGTAGAAGTCCTTCATCAGCAGGTGACCTTCGCCGTAGATCCCCGTCGGCCTCAGGGAGCAGGTGAATAAACACTTTCCACCTTTCACCTGGACGACAAAACCAACCGTGAGGGGCAGAAAACTAGAAGACAAGAAAACGGTAAAATAACAGCATGTGGCAAGATTTACTGGGTTTTAATTACAGCCTTTAGAAATGACACCCAGTAAGATCACAGAGAGGACTGTCTGCAGAGAAGTTGCAAAAGAAATCCCTACAATGTTGAAACCCAACCAAGCATTTGGCAGCCGCAAAGGAATTTATCGCTTTTGCATATTTAAGGTTTAAGAAACAAAATGTTCTTGCTGCATGCAGTAACATAAAATTAAATATCAGGCAGCTCTTTAACATTTTCACCGTCTGCATCAAGAATTAACCTCTTACTGTGGTTTGTCTAGAATGCGTTTTAAAGAAAGGAGTATTTTTTTTTTAAATACGTTGTCGTACCGTGATGCCGTTAGCTTCCAGAACGAGTTTCTCTGCCGCCGCCTTACTTTTGGGATACGCCATGACGTGTTTCACGGGATACGGCGTGTCTTCGTTGCCTCTGCAGAGAAAGAAATCCAATATTGGTGGTTTTTATTCGCCCTTCATTCTTAAAAAAAAAAAAAAAGTAATCCAATCTACATTTGCGCCGGTCAGCTGGTGCTTCAGCAGCCGTGTGCAATCAATAAAGAATGTGCACATTCATTCAGACGTGTTTTCTTGAGCTCCCACTTGAATGACAGGAATGTTTTGACAGAAAACTAACGCGCAGCGCTGAGAGAGTCTTAAAGGGACGGTTGAAACCAGGAACATTTATCAGTCTGAACACTTCAACAGGTCGATCTTCATGTCTGTGCAGCGAGACAACACCAAGGCTCGTTCTTACAGAAAGATGCTGAAAAGCTGATGAGAGCCAACTCAAAAAAAAATAAATAACGACGTGCGAACTCGCACAGAGGTACGAACAACATCTGGAAGGGTGTCAGCGATCCTCGTGTGCATCGTTATTAGACATTATTTTTCTCTTTGATTCCGTAATTTGTTGCAGAGGCCATGATGTCACCGAGTTTTGAACAGGAATCCAAACAAGTCAGCTGTTCAGATTTAACTCATCCACAGTAAGCTCGCCAAATGCAGATGTGATTTATTGGGTTAACCCGGTGCTGAAAATGGGTTTCCAAACAAAAGACTTCAAAGTTTGATTATATCAGAGCAGAAAAACGGACAAGTCAAGTCAACTTTATTTATAGAGCCCATTTAAAAAAAACTTATCAAAGTGCTTAACAACATCAATGAGAGTAAAATTAATGAAAAAATATATAATCCACTAATAATAATAATACAGAATTAATAAAAAGCATTTAACACATAGGATCACAGAACACTAAATCAATTTACACTGTGTGAAATGCCGGATTTGAACAGATGTGTTTTTATCAGGGATTTGAAGTGAGGAAGGGAGGTGGCCTGCCTGATGTTGGGGGGGCAGGTTGTTCCAGAGTTTGGGGCCCATGACTGAAAATGATCTCCTCTGAGCTTCAGTCTTGATTTTGGAACAGCCAAAAGCAGCTGATGGAATGATCTCAGGGCCCGAGAGGGAACGTAAGGTTCCAGTAGCTCAGAGAGGTAAAGGGGTGCGAGGCCATTTACGCATTTGAAGGTCAACCGAAGAATTTTAAAGACTATCCTCGTACGAACAGGGAGCCAGTGAAGGGAGGACAGAACTGGTGTAATATGTTCAGACCTACGAGTTCTGGTTAAAAGCCGAGCAGCAGCATTCTGGACGAGCTGAAGACGTGAGCTGGAGGCCTGGCTGACACCAGCATAGAGCGCGTTGCAATAGTCCAATCGGGTCGTGACAAAGGCGTGGACTAGACATGGGCACAAACATTCCTGAATGAAATAAAGGGTTTTCAGCCTTCTGATTGTGACCAGGTGGTGTTAAATACATGTCCGAAGAGCCTCAAAGAACATGGAAGAGGTTTTCCTCTGGTGGTCTGGACCCCTTTGATCCAGTCTGAACAGAACCCGTCCTGAGCTGTAGGACTTCTGCTGAACTGATGTGACCTGACACAAGCAACAGTTGTTACTTCGACGTCTCCAGGTAAAACAAAAAGAGTCCGCTCAGCTGGCAGCTGATCAGAGACAATTAAAAAACCAAACGTGGGAAAATCTGGATCTGATTTATGAATAAACAAGAGTTCCACCAACAGGATATAATCCACCCGTCAGTAAACTGTCAACGTCATCAAGAACCTGAATGAAGTCGCTCGCTCAACAACCCTGAATATATGGGTTCGTTCGATAATTACATGATGGTGAGGTCAAAGGTCAGTTTGACTGGTTTGTGATGATGATAAAAAGACAAAATGGTTGATTAAAGAACGCACAAGAACATAAAACTGCAGCTAGCAGGTGTGAGGAACTCACCTGCAGCCGATCCAAACCATTCTATGGTCAGAGTAGACCAGAGCCACTCAGTTTCTTTGACGGAAGTGATTTTAAAATCAACAAAAGATCCAACGTGGAGACGTCAACATCTGTAGTTACACCATGGACAACTTACTGTGGACCGTCTTAGGGATGGACAGATAGGGACAGTCAAGGCTGGAGTCCCTGATCCTCGTTTCCCACTATCCTGCAAGTTTTAGATGTTTCCTGCTTCAACACGCCCGACAGAAATCAACGAGTCGTTGACCGGCTTCTGCTAGACGTGATGACATTCTGAGTGGCTAATCGCATGATTTGAATCAGGTGTGCTGAAACAGAGAAACAGCTAAAACATGTAGGATGGCGGGCCACGAGGACCGTAGTTACCTGGATGTTAAGGTGGAGCAGAGACAAGACTGACCTTTGACCCAGTGGCCTTGAAGTCATCAGGGATCAACCTGGACACACGAGGTGTCCGGCTGTGCAGTTCGACATTTCTACGTCAACGAGTGATGAATTTAGTCAAGAATTCGTCCACAGACCGACGGATGAAGGTTGGTGCCCGTCTTGTCCGGAGGTTTGAATGTTCTCCTTCGTCTCAGTAAACCGTCCGGACAACGAGCGGACAGACGCGTGCAGAGATGAAAGGCTGTCGCCGCTGAAGAGCACGGAGTCTGATTTCACAGAGCGGGTTCACGTCACAATCTGCTCAGATCACTGGTTCAAACAAGCCTTTGTCCTCGGAGCCAAAAATACTTGGCTCTTTGTGACATTCATTTGATACGAGACCGGTTTTAAACCTCATAAACAAACTGGTTATGGACCGTTTCTGTCCAAAACATTAACAAACTTCTCCTTTATTTGCCGTCTGGTTTTAATATGAAAATAAGTAAATGACGCAAAACTCAATCAGAAATATTTGCGTTTGTTTTTTCAACTTAAAGACACAAAAGCCATTTCCATGGATACAATATACGTGTATAGTCCGTGCGTTAAGAGTTGCATTTGGGCCTAATAAATCCGGCCCGGACCAAGCCCGTAGTTTTTCTTTTTCCCCCCCAAGCCCTACCCGGACCCAACGGGTTAACGGTAATTAGAGGACCGACCTGAAAAAAATTAAACTTTTACTGCTTTTGTAGTAAATCAGTTTGATATGATAGTTTTAAAATCGTAATGAAAGGACGATGTAAGATTTATTTTTATTAACAAGTCACCAAATGGATATTAACATACAAAACAAATAACCTAAAAAAAATCAGTTCTACAGATGGGCTGTTATACAGATGAACAAAAATATTTTTAGAGTAAAATTATTTGGAAAAATATCGAACAAGGATATTTTAATTGAACACGCTGCTCGCTTCGGCTTTTGTAGATGCTACCACTTCCTTCACCGCAGATGACAGCATGACGTGCGCAGCCTGTGATCAGCTGATCCATCCATTATCTTTACTCGCTTCTTCCTTTTCAGGTTGCGGGAGTCGCTGGTGCCCGTATCCAGCCATCACTGTGCAAAAGGTGGGGTACACCCTGGACAGGTCGCGAGTCCATTTCAACAGGTGGGTCAGCAGACGCGCGCGGCCGGTGACCGGTTGTCCATCTGAGCTAAACGTGACTTTTTTACCTCTTATTTAAACTATCCGGTCGGACCTGCCTCCTCTTCAACAAGTAGATTAACACAATTTTATATTGTGCATTCTTATTTAGTTTTATTTGTGCTGTATGATTCTTAAAACCACATCAAAGACCGAGACAGGCCCAGCCTGCACATCAATCACATTATAAGGGCCTGGACTGGCCCTAATCCAGGTCGGTCCGGGCTGGGTTTTGGGTTTGGGTTAGAAATGACAGCTCTATTGTGCATCACCACAATGCCATTCATCACGAGTCAGCGTGGTCATCACTTTTATCCATTGTTTCTTTTCCTCAAACGTTTCAGGAACAGCTCATCCCGTTAAGTGTGCCAACATGTGGGCTGCTGGCACCTCGAGGAGGATTCACTAATTTCTACAAATGTCAAAACCTTTTTGTTTTGTCAACAGTAGCGTTGACTCAGTGCTCAGGAATCTTTAGGATTCAGTCCAGCTGAATCAGGGTTTGGACATACAGAGTCCCCTGAAAGTTCTCAAAGAGAAACTTTTGGACTCAGACATATCCTCTAAAGAGAATATTCAGGATTATGTTTCCAGGTTTTGTGAGCGGCTGCACCACACGTGCCTTTGCGAGAGATCCTGGGTTCAGATCCCGGACGAGCCCCCATTAACGTTACCTCCCCTTTTCCTGGCTGAGCCGGGTCGTAACAAGTAGCATCAAAGATGGACTGGGTTACAGGTTTGCACATCAAGGCTGTACAAAGCTGCCTTTAAGCTGCTGTATCTGCCAACAACAGACTCATGTTCAGGCTGCTGTTTAATACACCATATTATTTTACATTATTATTGTTTAGCATATATCTTAGATCCTTGTATACAATTTCTTTTTATACCTTATATTTTTGCATGTAACTGGGACCCTGAGTAGACATTTTTGTTCCACCTCATGTACCACATGCGATAAGAATGACAATAAAGAACCTTGAAAATAATAATTGTCTGCAAAAACAGCATAGGGGAAAATGTTGCTCCACCTGGCTTAAATTACTTTTATTTGTTTTCCCAAATAAAACTACAAACTTTGTTGATAAAAGACGGAGATTGTTGAATAACCATGAACTCCAACCAGCTCTCCGAAATGTTTTAGCTTCCATAAAAAACAAACAGAAGAAGCCTTTCTTACAATAGATGCCTACATTAGCGCCCTGTGGGCTCCCTGATGGACAGCTGCAGGAAACGGACGTGAAATGTACGGAAATGGTGCTCGTTTTTAAAGTTTCACCTCTTGAAGTGATCTCCGTGGACGTTGGGGCCGATCACCTCCATGCTGCTGGTGTAGACGAGGCTCTCCACGCCACATTCCACGCACGCTTTGATCACGTTCTCCGTTCCTGAGAAGACAGGAAATTTATTTATTGGAAGTTCGTCTGAATAAAACTGACTTTATTAAGAAACAGATGTTTTTGTTTTCCTCAGACCGGATCAGACCGGAGTCCAGTTTGTTAATCTTAATTACATGCAGACGGTCAACATACACGTGTTAAAAACAACACAGATGTGGGATCCATGTGTGTTCTGTCAAGCAATAGGAAACATTTTTCCTCTGTTCCACGTAATTCGGAGTTTTATTACAAACATTAACGAGCCGTGCAAGGAAAAATGGCTAAGTTCGATCTTTCCAAACTGACTTTTTAAGTTTTTATGTGTTGGTGACACTCAGTCTAATCTCAAACCTCCAGTTTTGACAAAAACAGCGCTGACAGGAGAGCAGTGGAGTCCGATAATTCACGATTCACTCCTAAACTCGTGATCTGGGATGTCTGTGCCGAGCCATGGCAGAAAGAAACGACAGGAAAGAACCAAAGAATGAAAAGAAAACGCATTAAAACGCATTAGGCTTCACAAATACAAGAGAAAATTATCTGCCAGAAAACACAAAGGCTTCTAAAACCTGGATTAAATTTAATGCTGGATTAGTTTCACAATAAGATTAAATCTAAATAAACATTTGACTCCAGGTCTGAAGATCTGAAGAATGCCGGCAGCACAGGGAAAACCCAGAGACCAAAGCAGATGAAACTTTATCCCATTCTTTGTGATAAAACTGGAGCCCATCAGGAGGAAACGTCCATTATGAAGCAAACATCTTGCAGACAAAATGAAACGAGCACCCCTGGATGATAGGTGATGATGTCTGAGGGGCTCCGTTTCTAGAACAAGGTCCACAGCCGAGTCTGCAAACGACTCAAGTGTCTTGTGTTTGCTGAATCACTGCTTCACACTCCCACTGAGTCTCGCCCTCCGTCTTCTTCACGGTCGTGGGGAGTTGGTGTCCAAGTCCAGCAGTAGGTGTGAGAGAGGCGGAGGACACCTGGACAGGTCAAGTCCATCACAGGGGGACACAGAGACAAATGAAGGGTTTACCTTCCTTCTCCTGCTTCAGCAGAGTTCATCTGAACCATTGATGGATAAAAAACTGTTTCAGAGATGGGAGCTATAACTTCTGGCTTTAAAACTTTAAACTGTTTAAAATACGTTACTTCCTTAGTTTTATTAAAATTAAAGCTTTGACGATTTGAGCCTTTAGCGTTGGTTCTGCTAGTCTTAGGTTTTAATTCGGGTTTTGCTTCACGCTGCATTTTGGCAGCTGGTAATTTATGTTGTGTCTTTAATTGAAAAGCAGATCAGGGCCGATGTTTCAGGGCTGAAATGTTCCAGGTTCTTTGTTTAGTTTAAATTAAAAAACAAAAACAGATCCGATCAAACATGACATCATCCTTCCGAGCCACAACAGCCTCACAGCGACAAACGACACAAACACGTCTCAACCTGCACAAACCTTCAGATGACAGCGTTTGGTATTTTCAGGTAAAGGCGACGCCTTCGTACCTGCGTTCCTGAAGAGAAGCATCATGCTGCTCACGCACAAACAGCTTACAGCTCGATTTCTGTCCTGTCGAATTTTTAGATCCAAAAATAAGAATTTTATGTTACTTGAGGAGTTCAAACTTGGATTAGCAAGACGCAGTCACTGGCTAAAAGCTAGAAGCAGTGAAAGGCTAGCTAAAAGTAGCACAGTAATGCTCAAGTAGTAAAACACTTGCCAAAAGAGGAAAATCACTAGCTGAAAGCTAAAAGTAGCAAAATGCAAGCTAAAAGTAGAAAAACAACTAGGTCGGCAGTGCTACCATTAGGCTACATAAAAGCTTAAAGTTGCAGAAGGTTGTCAAAAAGCTAAATGTAGCAAAATGATAGCTAAAAAAAAAAACAACTATCATAAGATGACAAAAAGTAGATCCAGTAGCCGAAGCGAACTTCAACTAGAACAATGTTTTTGAAGGGATTTAACAGAAACCAGTGTTGGCAAATCTTTAAGTTAAATATTTTTTATAATATATTTTAAATATTTTGCAGCGAGTGGTGAAAGCTGCACAGAAGTATGTTGGAGTCAGCCTCCCCACCATCACAGACATCTACACCTCCAGATGCAGGAAGAGGGCCACCTGCATCATGAAGGACCCCACCCACCCAGCACACACACTTTTTGCCCCGCTCCCCTCAGGAAAGAGATTGAGGAGCATTCAGTGTAGAACCACTAGACTGAGGAACAGCTTCTACCCTGAAGCTGTTAGACTCATACGTCCCTAATCAGGATTATCACTGTGAAAAAAAAATCACTGTAATGCCACTTGATTGTTGACATGTGCTGCTGATCTCATGCTGCTGATTTATTTCATGTTGCTGTGTTCATTCGTCCTCATATGCTCACACAGACTCATGTTCGTGCTGCTGTTGTTTGGTACCATTAGTGCTTAGTGTATTCTCAGTTTAACGTATTTCTTAGTTCGGATGTAACTGGGACCCTGTGTACAAAGTTTCGTTCCACCTCATGTACCACGCGTGATGTGAATGTCAATGAAGAACCTTGAATCCTTGCAAAGAATTTTAAAAAAGTTTCAAAAATCAAAGCACCCACCCGAACGAGCTGCACATTTTGATATATGAACAGCTGTGTAGAAATTGTTCAAAACATGGGAAAGAAACAGGAAAACTCTTTTGTAAACGCTGAGTCAGCGTTCACAACAAGCCTTCAGCCTCGTGTGACACTTGAACCCACCGCTGACCTTTGCACCACGAGCTCGACGCAGCTGCAGCGTCCCTGAAAACAATGAATGTTTAGAGCAGGGGTGTCAAAAGGAAAAGGGGGCCATAATTATAAACATTTTTTCAAACTAAGGGCCAATTTCAGAATCTACATTAACTTAAGTTAGATATCCAACATCTTTTCTTGGTCACAGGTTCCTCAATAAGAGTTTGATTGGTCACATTTTGATGTTCCCTGTTGTGCTTTCAACATCATAATCAAAGATTATTGAAAAAAAATTAAGAAATAAAAGTATTTTTCATTTAAAATAACATCTTGGGGGCCAGATAAGATGTCAACGAGGGCCACATTTGGCTCTCGGGCCTCGGGTTTGACACGTATGCTTTAGAGTCTCGGAGCTGCAGCATTGACGCTTCAGATGTTTCTGTCTCTTCTGAATCAACTGAGCATCAACCATCTTCATGTTCAAGTTCAAGAATCTTTATTATCCCCAAGGGGCAATTTGTTTCCCAGTCAGTAGACACACAAAAAATCCATACTAGACACTGAGACATTAACAGAAATCATCATTGTTCATTGAGAAGCCTGATCTCTACAGGGATGAACGAGTTTTTCAGTCAGTTTGTTCCACATCTGGGCAGCAGAAACCTGCCTCCAGATGGAAGTAACCTGAACTCACCATGGAGCGATGAACAGGATCTGCCAGAATCAGCCTGGCCTTGTTCACTGACCCAGCCTTGTGTAGGTAAAGATAAACGTGTTTCCCTCCCTCGAGCTGGGAGCGGTGACGTCGTTCAAACATGCATTACGTTCAGATGCAGCAATATGATAAGATAAAAAAAAAGGTTCTTGGCTCAGGTTTTTGAATGGATCTAAATCCGGCTTCACACCACTTTTCATTCGAGACATTTTCTTTAGATTTCACTGTCCAAACCATCTACATGTGCGTTTTCTCTGTGTTGGGACCCACAGGAAACGTCTGAACCGTTTCCCGTCGGTCCCTTCCCCGCCCCTCCCCCCCCCCCCCCCCCCCCCCCGCTCACTCATCGGGACTCTTCAGGACGCACCTGTTACGTTGACGGAGTAGATGAGGCTTTCCGGGACTTTGTGCCAGACGTCCACCAAGCTGGCAGAGTGGATCACAACATCTGCTCCACGCGTGGCCTCCAGCACGCTGCGGTAATCTGTGATGTCACCACGAACGACGACGACTTTCGTCCTCTCTGCGTGAGAAACGGAGACATAAACCAAAACCGGCGATGAGACAAAACGAGGAGTTTCCTCAGAATATTCCAGGTGAGGAAGAGGAAGATGAATCATTATTTACAGTCAGGGTTGTTCGTCATCAACCCTGAGGACTTCCTTCACAAATATTCCCTGTTTTTATTTGTTTAGATTATTATTATTATTATTATTTCCAGATAATATTTCCACATTGAAGTAGGTTTTACTGAAAACTACACACAAAAAAGTAAATTACCTTACTAAATTAAAAATATATTATAAAAAAGGATTACTTTTAGTGGTTTAAAAACTAAACTTTAAATTATTGGGAGTCCCCTGCCCTTCAAGCCAGAGTTTAAACCAACTCCATCAAATTTTAACAAAGTGAAAGGTGTTTTGGTCAAATATGACGACAGCTACAATCTCATGAGCGTTGTGGATTGAGAACTCTCAGCTACTTCCACGTTTAGGTTTTAGCTCGAGATTTGTAAAAATTTACAGAGTTGAAGCAATTTATGCTTTTAATGGCAACATTTTGAATTGTTTTGTCTCCAGGAGTTTGTCGGGACATCTGATGATTATTTCCTGGAAGATTCATTAAAATCCGTTCAGTGAGCCGTGAGATATTATGCTAACAGATGCACGAACAGAGACGACCTTCGCCTTTGGCACGAGGTGAGTTAAAGTTCTGCAGCAGGCAGTAAAGTTGAGTCTCGTTATCATCTGAAGGTTGTGAGTCTCTGGTTTATCTTGTGGTCGTCGATAAGAGCGCTGTGGAAACGTGATCCTGTTCAAACAGATTAAACCTTTTACTTTTCCTCACACCATCTTTAAATTACGGATGATCCAAGTGTCCTTTTCCTGCCCCGAGGGCCGAACGTGGGGCGTCTCTGGGTCTGAGACACCAGATCTCACAATAAATAAAGAAAACAAAGGATTCTCCACTGGCGGTTGGAGCATTCCTCTTACTGACGTGGACAAACCTCAGAGGAACTGAATGTAATTTACACCCAGCAGTTCTTAAATTAAGTCATGCTAAATTTATGACTCGAGTAAAACAGGAAGTTAAAAAAAAGTGTTTTAGAGGAACTCTGATAACTTTTAGTTTCCCAACCCGTAAAGTTGACCCTCTGACCACGCGTCAAGAGTTTGTTTGAGCTGTGAAACTACAAAAAGTGATGTTGACCCACGACCAAGTAAATACACGGTCAGTATCGACCCGATACTTTTAATTTATGTAAGGAACAGCAGTGGATTGTGTTTGATAGATTTTATTATCATTACATTTAATTCTTGGTTAATTTAAATGCTTCTATTTATTCTGCATTTTTTTTTAAATTTACTGTAGTTTCTTCTGGGTATGTCAGGTGTACCCCAAGGCTCCATTCTTGGTACACCACTTTTCTCCTCATTTATAAATGGTATCTCGCGTTCCGTTAGTGAGGACTCCATTCATTTCTATTCTATACACCATTGTATATACTTTTGGTTCTACTCTGGGTGAGGTTGTGAAGTTCCTTGCATATAGTTTTCTTGAAATCCAGCAGGCCTTTTCTGGCTTAAATTTGTCCTTAAATGCCAAGAAAACGAAATGTATGTGGTTCAGTCATGGAGGAGGAACCATACCCACCTGGGTGGACTTCACCACTGTAAACAATGACATTATAGAAGAGGTAACGGTTTATAAATATTTGGACATATGGATTGATGGTGCTCTGTCCTTTTCACATCATGTTTATGTTTTGCAATCTAAGGTTGAAGCGAAACTTGAATATCTATGTAGAAATCAATCATTGCTTACATTGGCTGCAAAATCCACAATTGTTGAAAAAAAAAAAAACCCATTCTACCTTTGTTGGATTATGGAGACATAATTTACAGACATGTTAAGGGTGTTTGCTATTGGCTTCGTTACAAATGCTCCTAATAAAACACATCATTGTCTCTACTCTTGTTAAATGTCCTTCTCTACATACTTGTTGTGACATTCATCGGTTTACCCTCATTTATAAGACGTTGCTGGTTATTCACCTCCATATTTGACTAATCTAATGAAACCAGCACTGGTTTAGAAGTACAACACCTGAACCTCTCAGTATTTGTGGTTAACAACTCTAAAAACCTACTTCAAAAACTTTGGGTTTGACCTCACTTGTTTCAGTTTCTAGTTTTTTAAAATAATTTAAAAGTCGTTTTTAAAGATACTTGCAAATGTTTTCATGCTTAGTAATGTTGTCGTTTAATGAACTGTTTTTAATGTAATTTGCGATTTCCTTGTTTGTTATTGAGATTTTGTTGTTTTGCCTAATTGTACCGTTTCCCTTCCCTTGAGCCTACAAGTGGCTGTTGGTGCTGCCAGACCAGCTCAGTAAATAAGAATTTGATTTTAAGTGTTTATGCCTGATTTAATAAAGGTGAAATGGAAAAATGAAAAATGTAGAACGGTTCTGTGTTTTGCTCTTTGCTTCTTTGTGATTACAAGTGTGTTTACATTTTTGGTGTTGTTGTGATCCAGATCCATTTCTGTCAATGTGAGTAAAAAATAAATAAATTATCTAGGCCATATTTATGAACGATCTTTAAATTTAACATAGCAGCTTATAATTTTGAAATATCTCATGTTAATGATGCAATGTCTTAATTTCGAGTTAGATGATCTTATTCTTCTTCAGTGTGGCAAAAATTAGTTTCTATGGCAACAAACGAAACGCTGAGAGGAGAAACAAAAAACATCTATATGATCGATACTTTATTTTAATATTAATACAGTACTGTATCAATTTTAGGATCGATCCAAATGCCACTAACAAGTTTGTGTTAAAATCTATTTGTTTTTGATTGTTGTTGGTTAAGCTTAAAACGCATTACCATTTTATAGTTACCAGTAAGCCATACTTTAAAAAGTACCAGAACTAATTTTGTTACTAATTTAATGATAAGATGGTCAAATCTGCCTACTGTAACAGGAAATTTTACTATAAAATGATAAAGTCAGAGGAGATTGTTTAATAAACGTCTTGATTGTTATTATGAGGTTTAGGCGGTTTTGATTAAAAATACATTTTTTGTGAATTTTCTTAAGTAACTTACAGACAAGAGGGCCACCTGCATCGTGGAGGACCCCACTCACCCAGCACACGCACACTTTTTGCCCTGCTCCCCTCAAGGAGGAGCATTGGGTGTGGAAACACTAGACTGAGGAACAGCTTCTACCCTGAGGCTGTTAGACTCGTGAATCTCTAACCAGGACAATCACTGTGAAAACATCATGTTGCTGCTGATCTGTTTCATGCTGCTCATCTGCTCACTCAGACTCATGTTTGTGCTGCTGTTCCACGTATCGTTTTTATGCTATTTGTGCTTGGCATATTTTTAGTTGATGTTTTCTTGGTTCATATCTTAGATCTTATTACGGTTTTCTTTTGTACGGTGACTGGGTGCAAACTCAAAAACACGCAAACACACACACACACACACACAAAAATGCAAACACAAAAAAACATATGCAAACTAAAAAAAGCACATATGCAAACACAAAAACATACGCAACAGAAAAACGCTGCAAACTGTGAAAACACCAGTAAACTTGTGTTTTTGATTTTGCTTCATGTGTTTGCTGCACGTTCCGCCGTTTGCTGAGCGTTTGCACCCGTCGGCCACCGTACTTTTACATTTAGTTGTTGAATGTAACTGGGAGCCTGTGTACATACTCCGACTCTGACAATGATAAAAAGCTGACGGAAACACAACACGACAACGAGTTTAAACGGTATTTTTTTATGTAAAACCGAACAAAATACGCAATTCAGCTGTGTAACAGACAGGATGTCCTTACCTGTGCTGAGTTCATTTAAACTCAGATCTACGTGCTTGTCAAACACTCGAACCTCGACCAGTTCGTCCTCCTTCTCCTGCAGAACCCTGAGCAGATGGGTTCCGAGAAACCCGCAGCCTCCGGTGATCAAATAGATGAGCCCGTTTTTAGACATGCTCACAGAAACAACAGCCGCAATTTAAAGAACTTCTGAACAGCTAAGAAGGACGGAACCCTTTATATAGAAGGGGGCGGAGCCTAAAACAGTCCATCTAAAGCCCCCGCAGGGAGGAATCCTAAAACCGCCTGAATGAAAATTCAGAGATTTATTAGAACTTTCCCCACATTTTAAAATTTAAATTTATTACTGTGTAAATAAACTCACTCTAGATGAATGAGGTGACTTATAGACTAAATTCTACATTAGAAATAATGATGGTGGTTCTCTGTCATCCCTTTAAAACGGTGCAACATGGTTTAGTCCACAAGCCTCCATAATGTGGATAACTGCAATCAACAGTCAGATGGTCAGATCATTCACCCAACTAACATAAACTATTATATAATATAGTATTGATAAAATGACCTATCAACAAACTGGTAAAATATAAATTTCTCTGCATTCGATGACTACTTCTAAAAAAATAAATATTTCATGTTTGAGTAATTTGGCATTATAAACATAAAAACTGATTTGATTTGACTGATAAGGTAATACTGACGCACACAACTGTTATCGTAAAGTTCTGTCTCTGTGGGCCTCTAGGGTGTAGAGAGCCACAGAAATGGTTACGGCGGACTGGATTTGGCCCATGGGCCTTGAGTTTGACACATGCCATCATGTGCTACCAAAAGTAACAAACGAAAAAAACAACAACCAAAATATGTTTGGAGTTTAGCTAACAGACTTTGGAATGGGTACATTTTGTCCTTGCTAAACCTGCTGAAGAAGAACCAAACTAAATACTGTGAAACTCAAATAACTTACTGCATGAAGTTACAAATAACACTCAACTTTGTAACATATATCCCTAAATGGGGTGAAAGGAAAATTAGATATTCCTCCTCAAACAAAATCAGCTAGTGCCCCTTTTCAGAATGGTCAGGGGAAATATGTTACTAAATAATACAGTTAGCACTATTTCTATAGGAATTATCGTCAGTTCCATAACTTTCAAACATATGGGTGGAGAAAGTCCAGCCCCTTGGCTTAAAAACACCTTGTGTTTTTCAAGTGTCGTACAACAAGAGTGTACTGTAGATTTATGGGATATTTTAGGTTACGCATATGAGCCCGAAGAACATGGCAACAGCTGTTGCAACAACAGAAAACAGTTCATTCAGGACCTGTGTTCCATCAATGATTATCTTGATGTCTTTGGGTGGATGGAAAGGATCCTCTCTCCCAGTAATAAAGATTGTCATGGTTTCCAGATGCCCATCCTGCAAACACACCAAAAATAAAGAAATGAGGACGACTAAAAGAGTAAAAGAGTGCAGACCACTGCCAAAGCACAACAGTCTGAACAGTCTCTTTACTTTCTGAAACACTGGACAATTTACTGGCTAGATTACAACAAGAAGAGTTCTCAGTTTAATTGAATGTAGGTGTTACAATAAAGATCAAAGAGTCATCAACAAAGTCTTTGTTTCTCCCACTCTGGCATGCTGTTACTTCAATTTGAGCCCAAATTCAATAGATAAGAGGAGTCTATAGCAAGGAGAAGAAAACCATATCCAGTGCAATGTTGCATCTCAAACATAAAAAAGGTGTGTGGATGTTGCTCGTGTTAGTGCATCATATCTTCTTACCTGGTGTTCTTTCAAAAGATGCTCCACAGGTTCATCCAGGTAGATCATCAGAGCTTTAAGGACCACCTCTCTCTTGATGCTGATGTCAACAGTCTGAATAAGAACAATTACTTTTAATTAAAATCTAACTCACACCTACACAAAACAACTATTCAGCTATAAATCCCACGGAGTCTTCTCAGATACCTCGTCTCATCATCAGCTGACCCAGAACTTCCACTAGGCTGCACAGCAGAAATACAGCGCAACTGGTGGACGCTTTCCTGAAGGTAAAAGAGAAAACATTATTTAACACCGAGTAGTTTTAATTTTACAGTAACTACAAACTACACAGTGTAAACTATAACAGAATATTGCATTATATTCTTCTAAAATCTGAGTTGCTATACCCATGACATGAAATGCTAGATGCGAGTTGTCTTTGGGCCAGTTGTTTCAGACCATTGACGGGCTCAGTAAATAATCCTAACAAGTTGTGCACGACTTGTTACTGAGTGGGTGACTTTTCCTAACAAAGCTGGTTTTATCAATGATTCCTCGCTCATGCACTGAGACTAATATCTTATAAAAACCCTGCCCATATGAACTTCAGACGGTGGAATGCTGTTTGCGTTCAGATTTAACAACTTTATCAAAAAAATCAACTGGGTCTGTTAAACGACGACCCCGACACTAACAGCACAGTAATTATTTTTATCACATCGATGGTTAATGTAACCTTAAAATTATATTTTTTTAGCAAACTTTGTGACCGGATGCCAACAACCACGTTCCTGTTTTTAGTTTTCTACATTTGACTCATAATCTAGCTGTTTTTTGTTATTTTTTGTGCCATTTAATAAAAAAAAAAAAACATCTGTATGCCTTTTCATAATTGTCTGTTGTTGTCATCATTCTTTGTTAAATTAGGTCTCTCTTGTAAATGAGTCCTCGAGGCTCAATGGGATTGACCTGTCTAAACAAAGGTTGAATTCGTTTACTACGGAAACGAATGAAAAGTAATCACATTATACGTTTACCTTTCTTTGTTTACAATGACTGCAGACCCACATTTTGGAATCACATTTAATATATCTATGAAACGTCTGCAGTAAACTTTTACAAACATCACTTAGTATAGTTTGTAGATTTGATGTTTTATTTTATGAACGAGTTCACATTTGAGTCAGAACTTATTAGGTCTTATTTTAAAATAGATGTGTATTATGGTCATAATATAAGATTCATTTAGATAAAAACAAGCTAATAATTGATGTTAAATCAGTTTTTTGACCTTATACTTTACGGATTGGGCAAGTTTGAAAATGATTCATAAAAAGTAGAAAACAACTTAAATGATTTGTAGCTGTTATTTGCAAACACCAGTCCTTATCGTCTCCTGCCTTTATTTATTGTTCATTAATAATTTATTGTTCTTTTGTATCCAGAGCAAAGTGTTCAAATCCAAAAGACTGAACTTTTATATTAATTAGTCAAGCACTTAAACTCAACTCGTGATAAGTTCTTGTATTAGCATGTTTTGTTAAAATAAAACCAGATTTAAATGCTCTGTTTAACATTAAAGCATTCTTGAACTACGGCCAAAGAAAAGTTCAAAGTTTAGTGTTGGTTAAATCATGTCTAAAAGCACGAACACTATAAGAAGGAAGCAGTTTGTCTCTTGGAAGTATAAAAAAACAAGCAAATATGTAATTTTGTTTCGGGATGAGTTAATGTGTGCTGCAGTTTTCTTGTAGAGTAGTAAATCAGTCTTAAGTGATAAAAAAACAGCAACAGAGGTGTAAAGGTTGCAATGCCTGAGACAATGCAAAAATGAAAGTATAGCAGATCCTTTAAAAAAAATGAATAAATAAAATAGGGCAGATTTTGTTTCAGCGTCCCTGCATTAAATATGAAACCTCGGGTGGAACAAACCAAACCGTAAATGTTTTTTCACCAAGTGCGGTGACGGATGCCGTCATCCCTGAAACCTGCTCAGCTGTGGTTCGTTTGTAAAACCGTCCTGCTTCAAGTGACTCGGAGAAAAACCTTAAAACGACCTCGACCTCAAACCAAGCGTCCAGGTCACAGCTGCAGTTCACTTCTGGTAACGTGCGTTAAAGCATCAGCGTAGCAAGGCACCGCGTTTAAAACAGAGCAAAGGAGCCAAGACAGATGTAGGGATTTTCCAGCTGAGGTCAACATCTGCTCCCTCCGCTGCCTTTTCCCTTTCCTCCTCCTTTCACAAAATCCACATCAGATTTCCATATTTCTATGAAAAAAAATGCTGCAAATATGTTGCCAGATGTTTTCTAACCACTGGAAACTCAAGAAATCTTTTGCGGTAAGACAAAAAACAAAACAAAACGAAAACAGATTTTTATTTAAAAAATATTTTAATGCACCATTAATAAAGGGTCCAACGCATTAATACAAGAGAAATATTGCAAATAATATTAAAATCAACAAATTAAAAGGTAAAACAATAAAAAATAAACAAATGAAAGGTATGTACATGTTTTTTCCTCGTGTGGAGGAAAAGGAACAATATATTTACAGCTCGGATCAGTGTGTTTCTACGAGAAACAAACACCTCTACATTATTTACACCTCTTTTTTTTTTCCCTTTCGTCTTTTTGTCCTGTAAATCGAGTCGGTTTGTACGGAAAGGCTGTCGTATCAACAAGATTTATATTACACATTTCTTCTAGCTGGGAGAGAAGGAGGAAAATAAAAAAAAAAGGGGGGGGGGGTTAGTTAAAAAGTTTCAACGTTGAAGTTCAACTTTGGACGGCCACAGCCATTTGAAAACAGACTGGTCAGAGACACCCCCCAGTTTGAAGTGCACCATAAACCTGCTGAGGTTTGTTAAATCAGCAGGCGGTCAGTCAGACAGCTACACGGCAAACACATCCCTTTACCTTATAATCAACAATTAGGGAGGGATGCTTGGTACGAGATGGCTCCACACGCTCAGATAAAATAAATACTAATTAATTTTGGTAAAGACAGAAAAAAATACAACTAAACTTTTGAAGAAATCTGACCGTATCAAGCAAATGTGCCTTGTAGAAACATCTGTAGCACACAGAATAAACTATTTTAACTCTGAACACGCTGTTTACTGGGACCTGCAATAGTTTGGCGGTAAAATAAGGTTTGTGAAGAAGGATGTTGTTGATAATGTTTGAAAAAAAAAACATCCCGACATTAAAAAAAACACCACCACAAAGACATAATGGCAAAAGTAACTACACAGAACATTTTACTAAACGACAACTGCAGTCAACGTTTTGTTTTTGTCATGTGAATCACACAAAGTCGGAGGTTATGGCCAGAAAACGTTGTGAACGCAGCAAACAGAAGCTATTAAGTTGAAGTTAGCTAAAACCTGCAGAGAGCTGAAAATAATTTCCTAATACTGCTTTTACCAGCGCTTTGCTGAATTCACGTTTCCCCAGTTTCAAAGAAAGTGGTCCGTTCGAGAGTAAAGGAGTTAAAACCAAGCACATCGCAGCCCTGATGCGGGGCGAAGAAGTTGAACAGGCCGATTGATTTGTTGAACAGGTACCGAATAAACCTCCACGTAAATAAAACAAAAACAACAACTAACAACTAAAATAACACGTATCTAACATGAGGTGGTTGCAAATCAGGAACGTCCTCCTGATGGACAGGAGACGGTGAATCTGAGGATGATGGGGACACTACAACTCAAAGTACAGCTGATGAGGTCACTTTACTAACATCAACAGCAAGAATATTATTCTAATAACAAATAGAAATTAAATAAATTAAATAAAATAAAAAAAAAACAACCTTCACGTTTTGAAATCTTGCATAACCAAAACAATCTACCTGACAGAAACTTGCCGTCTTAAAATCACACTCTTAACGAGCGCTTTTAAAAACCCTGAATTTCTCTGATGATTCTGTGCGTTGAGTCGGGCGGGCGCAGGACGACACGGTGCGACCGCGCACGGGCTGAAGAGAATGCGACCTGTGTGTCGTCGTCGTCCTTGAACGAACGCATGTTGGCGTGGAAACACAAACGCCTTTGAAGCCAACTCGCCCGGGACCTCTTCAAGTCCAATACTGCCACAAAGTCCGAGGTTCGGGACCCCGTCCAAGGTTCACATACCAGAAAACACAACCCCAGCACACAGTGGCGTTCAGAACAGCCCGGTCAATGAAGAGTGTGCGTGAAAAGTGCAAGTGTGTGCGCGACACTGTTTCCTACTTTTTTGCGAGAACTACCGAGGCCATCCAGGAGGGAACCGGGGGTTTGGGGCGAGGCTTTGTTACGAGTTAAACTCAGAGGAGGCCGAAACAGCAAGAATCCGGCTCTGGCTGAACGTTGGCAAGTGAGAAAAAGAAGTGCTTTCACTAGTTGAGTGTCCCCCGGCAGTTCTCTGTTCCACACAGGCAGGGGATCTTGTTCTCCTCCAGAGGGAATTTGTAGTCGTAGGTAATCTCTTCATTGGCTGCGATAGGCTGCTTCGAGTAGATCACAATCTTCTTCTGGGACTCTATGGTTATTACCTTGGCGTAACAGTTCGGCTAAAAGAAAAACAAAAATGAAGCATTTAGAGGAGCAACATTATTCTGTTCTACACCCAGCGCTGACCGAAGCGTTTGGACTCACAGTGCAGCAGTGGTTGATGAAGCGGGAGAGGTTGCCACATTTTGTGGCGTCTATTATCGTGTCGTGGTCCACTCGGAACAAGTAGCTGCTCCCTATGCCCTGCTGAGCGTACCGCTTCTCTCGATTGTCAGCCACCATCTGGAAGCACACCAAACTTCATTAGTGAAACCAGAACAACGGTAAACAAATATCTGACAAGATGCGAACACGCTGCATTAACGGTCAGATGTTTCCTGGATTACGGACCATTATTATGCTCAGAGACGGACTAAACACAAAAATAAAACTTTTCTCTGAAGACTGAAAGGAACATCTGCATCAGTAACGCCGAACGTGTGAAATAATCACCAGTTTTACACAGAGACAGGAGTCGTACCTGTCTAATGTTCTGACCAACGTACTCGATGACCATCTCATCAGCAGCGATGGGCTCCATGGCGAACAGGCCCCACTCGTGGATTCTGCTGCGTCCAAACCGGAGCTTCTTCTTTCGGAACTGCGTGGACAAACAGGACTCGAATAAATCACTGAACGGCAAGAAACGTACAAACTGCATTTTAAGGGTTGGTGAACGGTTGTTAGAGCTGTCGCCTCTCAGTGAAAAGGTTGTTGGGTTAAATCCCGGCCCGGGACCTCTCTGGGTGGTTTGCATGTTCTCTCCGTGCATGCGTGGGTTTTCTCTGGGTATTCCGGTTTCGACCATAAACATGAAAGTTAGACTAATCTATCACTAATGGCCCTTTCCCATTAGTAACGGTACCGCACGGTTCAGTTCGACTCGGCACGGCTTTTCCTCGAGCAGTTATTCGTGGAACCAGACCCTTTTTCAGGACCCATTTCTCTGGGGTTCCAATCGTGTCGAACTGGCCCTAAAACACGACACCAGAACAATGTCGGTCACTGACTGGTCAGGGGGTGGAGTCACTGGTTGGTTGAGAAACTTTCACAACAACCCGATCCATGACTGGACTTATTTTTAAGATTTTAAAAACAATAATGACAACACTCCAGATAGATGGAGCTCCGCCGGCCCCCCTGGTCCTCTCCACTGGAGCCCCCTGAGGCCGGGCAGGGCGTCATCTCCACAGCTCCGAGCTCTGCTGGTCACCGCGGAGGATCCTCCGTGCTGCCGACCCGCAGGAGGCCGGATTTTTAAAAACATTTTATGTATAAAAAAAATACATGTATTTTTTTTAATCGGTGAAAATAAAAAAATAAATTGTGCCAACTTTATCATGAAATCCTGTTTTCACTTTTATGACTTAATTAAATAACTTGTTAAAGTTAACTCAGCTGAAAAATCATAAAAAGACAAAATTATTGGATCTCGCAGGAATCCAACATTTTTCAGTCAGGTCATCTGGACGGTTTCTTTCTTTATACCTGGATTATTGAGCATGGACTTTGTTGTTTTCAACCAGTTTGACAAGACTGTCAACAAGGAAGAGGGCCGGCAATGGAGGAGGGGGCGTACCAAAGAGACCATCTAATCACAAGCAGAACTGGCTTGTTCCACTTTGGAGTAAGCTGTTGGGGGAAGAATCAGTTTTGTTGTGTGTTTCTTTGACTGATGAAGCCTTCTGGATGGAAGGTGAAACGTTTCAGCACAAAAAAATAAACTGTCCAGATGACCTGACTGAAAAATGTTGGATTGTACACCTGGATTATTGAGCATGGACTTTGTTGATCTCTCAGGAATATTTCCCTCAAATATGTTTAAAGAAGAGCTACAACCTTTAGTTCAACTTTATTCTAACCCTCAATGTACAAATCACAAAACAAGAATTAAACTTTAAAGCAAAGCTAAAATAAAAAAAAAAAATGTGAACAAGAAACAAAACCACACATCTAAACTGAACCTGTTTCAGTGACGTTAATTTGTGAACTCTGAACCCGCCCACTAGAACCATTACTGAAAGTATAATGGAAGCACAACTCATACTGTGCCGAGCCCAGTCGAACCATGCTGTACCGGTACTAATGGTACTAATGGAAATGAGGCACAAGTTGTCCTTAAGTGTGAGTGAGCGAGTGAATGGTTGTCTAATTTGTCTCCATGTGTCCCTGTGATGGACTGGAGACCTGTCCAGGGTGTCCCATCTCTCACAGTGGAAAATTATTAAAAGTTTTAGGACCCCATAAAGAAGTGTGCGTGCACTGCTACGATGGCAGCAGAATAAAAGCTGAGCGTACCTTCAGTTGATTGAGTTTAAGTAGGTCAGAGTCCAAGACCGCCGTGGTTCCAATGACCGTGAGGAGGCGGCGCTGCTCTGAACGCCTCTCTGATAGCACTCGATTAGCGCCCTGTTGGGAAAGACGCACAAAAGAGCTTTAGAGAAGGTCACTGGGATAAGAACAGCTTATCACATGGCACCGAGTTCAAGGTGAATAATTCAGACGTGCACCATGGCCATCAAGTCATTCTAGTGTTTGAAGTTCATTTCGACTGCAGACTGAAACAAGACAGGAAGTGATTTATGCAACTGTGGAAGGAAGTTATCACTTCATTTCTACAAGTTAACCCAACTTCATTTAGTAACAGCGTCATAAACATTCTGTCAAACTTTAACACACATTTATTGTACTTAATATCAACCACTGAAAATACTAATCAGCAGGATAATATGAACAATGACATGATAACATACTCTATATTTAACTCAAGATTACAAACTATTTAATTTAATCAACTAAATACACAAATATATGAAATACGAAAATGTTTAGTATTCAATTATTACCGATATAACACCTAGAATCAATCATCTGTTCTGTGGCGTATCTTGGACAACTACTACTGAAGTGTAACGGAGTAGCACCTTAAAGAAACTGGTCACTTTTGTTTATTTAGGCAGCTAAAATGTGGCTCTATTAAATCTTATGTTGCACAAAATCAAACTTAAACAAGACAAGCTAAAAACAACAAGTGGGGTAATAAATTAAAACCTTGCTGGCACATTATTTGCCAATGAACAATAATAGATTTGCTGTATAGACACAAATGTGTGTGAGTGTAAAACATGTTTTAAACTAAACGTGTCAGACCAAACTTGACATAAAAACAAACCATCCCGCCCGCCAGCAGTCAAACCAAAGAAAACAAAACTGTTGAATATGACTAAACCGTTAAAACTTCTCCTAAAAATAAATCAAGCTAAAATTGGACATGACACACAAATGGCTGATTGATAGATGAGCTGCAAGATTGGCATGGGATTTTAATTTAAAATAAATTATTTTAAATTATTTAGCACCTGCTGAACCTTTGTGCAGCCTACACTGCATGATAAACTTCCTCCTGCAGCTGATCAGCTGATCTTGTGCAGAGCGGAGAAGTGGGCGTGGCCAAGCGCACTTGCAGATGGCAAAGAACGGAGGAGGCAGGGAGCTGAGATCATGGCATTCTGTGCTCTTTTAGAGCGTATACTCATATTCCTACTTTGCAGTTTTTCACTTGTTGCGGGGCTTCAGGGTACGGATCCCCCGCGATAAACGAGGGACTACTGTATATGGTTGAAATTAATAAATGTGGGATGCAAAATTTATAAATATGTGGGATAAAAAGATGAGGAAATAAGAATATCCCATGATAATTGTTTATGATGTTTAACTGAAATATCAGAAGCAGTGGCTCCTAATGAAGCATTTCAAACTTCTGCCATCACCTAGAATTATTTTTGCTAATGTAAAATGCAGATTAGATCATCATATTAAAATATAAACATTTCTCATAACAATTATTTTAAAATATTTACAACTTGCTCTGAAGACAACACCGACCACAAAGACGGCTGCAAAAAGAAGCCTCAACAAACTTCATCGCATTAACTGTAAGAGTTTTTTTTTGCAATTTCTGACGTGAAACAGCATTTGGCAGAAAAATGTTGCAAACAAACTTCAGCTGCAGAAACAGCCGACGCGTCTACGGCTTCCTAAAAACGCTTGTCAGAGTAACGTGACGTCTGGCTGTGGAAACATTCGTGCACGTCATTCAGACATGATGCAAAACTGGTTTTTGCCTTTTAGACAGAGTAAGACTTGCAACCTTCCATTTTTCATTCGTTCAGACCTTTTTAATCATTAAACCATTTGTCAGGCCGGAGAGGATTTAACGCAACACCATAAATCTGGTTAGACTTAATAAGAAATACAAATAAATTAGTGGCAGTAATTTACTACTAAGATAAAAAGTTTAGTTTTATATTCAGTTTTAGTTTGCTAAGAAAAGGATCAGATTGTACGAAGCTGCATTCAAACAGCTGTTAAAACTGTCTGTGAAAAGCCAAATTACTTTATTAATGTAAATTATTGTATCCCAGCAGTAAAATGGGATTGAAATAACATTCAAATGTTCTGAAACAGAAGGACTAAATCCAAACTGAACACCGGAAATTATTTTTTAACAAAACCTTGCAGGCAAATTAAAAACACTTTACCGTTGTAAACGTCAGATCATCAGATAACTGAGAAAATTGGTTATTTATTGTTAAAGCTGAACTCTATATTTAATCAGCAAAGTGAATCTTTTCTTAAAAATGTTCATGTTTTTGGGCTAACATCTGAACAAATGGTTAGAAAAGCAGATATGAGCACATCCGCTTTGTTATTAAATAAATAGAAAATGAATTCCTGAAAAACTATTATTGTTGAAATAAACACTGTAGAATGATCATGTGGATTTTTCCCCCTTGACAACCCAAATAATAAAAGTTTATTAGTATTTCTTACAGAGGTGTCGACATTCTCAGCTTCTCGAATGACCTGCTCGGGTAGATCCAGGTCCAGGTACACGTCCTTCTCCTTGCGGCTGATGGCGTAGTAGCCCTCGCTCCTGGCGCATCCGGTCACGTGCTCTCGAAGCTGCCCACCCGAACTCTTCTTTTTATGACGAGGGTTCGGCAAATTTGTTAGTGCAGCTCGTGAGTCAAGGACAAATATAAATCAAATTAAACAATGAAACCCATCTAGCATATTTATATTAGTAATTATTCCGGCCAAGTTAAAAGTATGGATAAATAAACAGTCATTAAAAGGATATCGGTATGATTGACCCAGTGAGTGTCATTGAGCCAGTCAGAGCTGTGGTCGTCCTGCAACAGCTTCTCGTAAGTCTTCTTCAGATACGTCAGATCTTCACCGTCCAGACCCGCGTTCCAGATGTCGTACAGAATGGTCATCTGCTCAAACTCACTGCGGTTGTCAAATTTTACAGGAGGCGGTTCAGGTGCTGGAACAGGCTTGAGCCCGCGCTGGGACGACGTCACCCCGGCCTCCTGCAGAAAGAGCCGCTCGCTCTTCCTCACTTCTTCTACCACGTCGTTCTCGGTGTCCGTGCTGGAGAGCTCTCCAGACTCCAGCTCCTCCACGTCCACGTCCTCTTCCAAGTCTGAATCCTGTGGGAAACAAAAGTCACGCACAAAAAATGTGTCAGGTTTCTGATCAATTTAAAGAGTTACTCACATCTTTTACAAACCACAACACAGACACGGTCATACAGAAGGCACCAATGAAGAGAATAATTTAGTTAACCGACAACAGCGTCAAAAGTCAATTGCAATATTAATTTACATATTACCGGTAGTCCCTCGCTACTTCGTGGTTGGACTTTTGTGGACTCGCTCAGTTTTTCAACGATTGTCAATTTTAATATTGCTCACGTGATTGGGACGGTACGGGATAAAAACTTAAAGGAAAAAAAAATACTTCTGACAGTCACCGCCATTTTGTAGTTTTCTTTCAGTAAGTCTACACTGTAAGGCCAGTCAAAGAACTACACTACCCAGAAGCCAACAGTGCTTCCGGCTGCTGCTTTCTGCCGAAACGGAGGAAAAGTTCTGATCCGATCCAAACCTGATTAAAAAGTTTGGTCCTTATTCATTAGTCACATCGACTTCAGTGTTCAGTGGATGCAGAGAGCCGTACGGAACAGACCGGGAATTGGACCAGAACTACCGTATTTTCTGGCGTATAAGTCGCAGTTTTTCGCAGCATATTTGTCAGTCCTGCAACTTATACGCCGAAGCGACTTAAATAATTTTTTTTCCCATATTCATAACGCAATTTTTGACTGATGCATTAAATTTCTAGGAACTGCAACAGTGAGTCCTCCCGTGCGCGCTCGCTTCACTCAGCTGGTGCAGGCGGAGGAACGCCGGAGAGCTAGCGGCTCCGGTTGTGAGGGATGGATGGCGCTGCCCAGGTGAAATGTTTTGACCATTAAATAAACGTGACAGGTCAGCGGTAACGCATAATAATTGTGACTTACATACCGAAGCGATTTATATAATGTTTTTTCCTCTTCGTGATATTTTTTTACTGATGCGACTTATACTCCGGAGCGACTTGTACGCCGGAAAATACAGTACTTCCAGCCTCATTGGTCAATCTGAGTGATGCTTGTCAGCCCAAGAAGCGCCTCGAGCAGGGAGGCGTTACTTGGAGGTCCGGTGTCTTCTCCAGAGCTCGCCCGGACTTTTTTCATCCGGATCCATCTGGATTATTTGGACTCGATCGGGACTGTCGTGTTGTTTTGTGCCGACTCTCCAAAAAGCATCTGGTGCTCAACGGCTGTAGAGCCGATTAGAACTGGACCAGAACTGGACCAAGGCTGGTGAGTTCAGAGTTCTCACATTAAATGTTGCTGTACTGTACACTACATATACATGTTGCTAAAATTACATCGGTTTAAGAGTTCAGAACATTACATGAGTGTGGGAAGGGTTTATAAAGCCTTAAAATATACAAATAATAAAATATAATATTCCTACTATCGCGGGGGTGTGTGGAACGTAACCCCTCCAATAACCGAGGGACTACAGTATTTAAACAATCACCAAAAACATGCATACGAGCAATATTTGGACGTTTGCCAAATTCTAACATAAATTTGTTATTGAAAGATTCAAATGTTTTGACCTATACTAGAAAAAAAAGTTGCATTTTGAAAAATAAGAGGTTCATCATGCCACAGCATCACCTTCTGTTTGTACTGATGTATTCACGTAAAATGATTCTAAGCTTAAAATAACACCATCGATCCAAGTAACAAGAAAAGTACAAGTATTTCTAGGAAGGTCTGAGGGAAAGAAACTGGCTGGAACTCAAACAACAATAAATTTATGTTAAATGAATCAATAACGTTAATGCAGAGAACTGTTGAAGCTTATTTCTGTCAGGCATCTGTCAGCTCCTCCGAAAACATTCCTCTAGCAACTACAAACGAGAAATGTAAAAATGTTCTAAAAGCTATCTATATATTCCACATTTCCTTGCATAATATTGCAAAGATTACCACAAGATCACCATTATGGAAAGATAACTACAGACTCGGTGACAAATCGCCGAGTGCGAAGCAACAATTATGGTTAACACATTCCTCTCCATCTACAGGAAGCCACCCACCTCTGGTTTGTGTTTCCTCTTCTTCTTGCCTGGTTGTTCCTTTTGTTTTTTTGTATAATGAGGCTCCAGGTTCTCTTTGTCTTTTCTCTTCCTCTTTTCGCCCTTATTATGTTCGAGTTCGAAACCTCTCCCAACGAGGTGATTCTTCTTTGGTGATGGAGCTACAGCTGCCACCTGGCTCAGATCATCCGAATCACACAACTCTCCCACTGAAGACAAGGACTCCACAGTCTCTTTGGACGGTACTGCCTCTCCAATAACCTCCTCTGGTGCCTCTAGGACCCCAGACATAGAGTTGAGGTCTGTTGAGTGTAGGATAGAAGAATCTTGTCTGGAGGTCTTTTTGGTACTGGATGGGGCTACAAGCACAGGAGGTTTGCAGTAGTTGTGCTCTAATAGGACAATAACACCCCCTGGACTCATGAGCAAAGCCAGGGCTTCTTGGGAGAAGAGATCTCCTTCGATCTTCTGCTCCTCTGCCTCATCAGACGTCTCGGTCTCCTCAGAGTCCCCAGCATCAGGGTCCATTTTTAAGGCGATGTCAGCCAACACAGACAGGTCGGTTGTTGAAGCAGAGGCCAGCTGCAGGAGACTGGAGGCTCCCACCTGCTCCCTGAGTCTCAGCTTCTGCTCACTTTTTATCTCCTCCTCATCATCCTCTCTGAGGGAGTGACACGAAGAGGCAGAAATGCTCGAAGTCCGAGGTCTGCCTCTGGACCGTTTGTTGACAGGTAGTGGTGCAGGGACCTCCTCAAAGGCCATCCTACACATAGAAGCATGGTCTAATGGCAAGTTCTGCACAGTGCGACAAACCCTAATCGGAGGGACAGGTGATTTAGGAGAGTCTTTGCCTGCTCCCCGTTTTCCAGGGGATTTGACCGGAGTGGTCTGGGAGGAAATAAGAGCTGCCTTTTTAACATCCTCGGAACCTTGAAGTCTTCCAGGTGGGGGAACGATGAGGGCGTTGCCTTCGCCTGGTTTTGAGGCGAAAGGGAGAAGTTGAATTCCTTGACTGGGACGAGTCGAGGCGGGTGGTGCAGCACTGACAGCAGAGTCCGGAGGCTTGGCGGAGGGGACGTAAGGTTCACCTGCAGCGTGTAATGAAGGCGGTGACAGTGGAGCAGCTGGCAATTGTGTTTTGCCTTCATTCTCATCTGTGGAAAACGAGACGGTCTTTCTACGTTTCTTCAGAGGTGGCACAAAAACATTAGGGGATGAAGGGCGCGGGCACGGTGGAGATGGAAGGTGCTTAGTTGGTGCTGCTGGTAGATCCGTCTTGTCCTTCGCAACACCTGGGGGGATGAGACAGATTTGAAAAACTGATCTAAACTTGTGTGCAAACCAAGGGGATTTGGTAATGAAGATAAAAATTTCTAACCTTTTCTGATGTCCACCTTTGAAACAGCAGTTGCAATATTTTCCCTAAAATAAACAGAACATTTGGCCACATAAAAAAAACATAATAAAACATATAAACATATAATAGTCAAATATGACACAATGCATTCCCCAGAACAGCTCCCACCACAGGTCATGATCAAAGGTGAGGTGGATTTGTCAAACCTGTCATCTTCTTTCTCGGTTATGCTGTCCATGGTCGACTCATCCAGGGAGTCGGACCCTGCACTTTCAGCTTGCAGCTCTCCCTCCTCCTCCTCAGAAGAGGAAGATGATGCTGAAGAAGAAGAGCCTCCAGAGGATGAAGAGAGGCTCTCATCATCACTGTCACTACTGAGGCCTTCATCTGGAGACACACAAACACACACATTATTCGACTCATGACGTTAAAGTAAACAGAACTGAAATACCACGGGATATTTTACCATCAGACTCCTTCTCGCTCTCTTCTTCCTCATCCTCCTACAAATTAAAAAAAAAAAAGTTTGTTTGTATAAATAAAAATTAAAATTAGTGAAATGCTGCCATCTAGCTAAAAACTATAGCAACGTTATTCGTATCAAACTTCTGAACAGTTCAAGACAAAAAGCACACATTTTTATTAACTTAAGGATTAAAAAATATTTATTTTGTACAAAGCTAAGACTTAATCTTATAAACAATTTTCAAAAGGTTTTCCCAAGATTCCTTTGGACAGTAATAAATTACAATCAGCTCATAATACACTAAGCTTATTTAAAACATTTAGTGACGTTATAAAATAAAACAGAAATGAAGTTGTGTACCTTTTCAGTGGAGGAACCATCAGAGGTTTCCTCTCCTCCGCTGTCGAGCTCCCAAGGTTTACGAGTTCTTGGTTTCTTCTTCCTCCTCTTGTTGTCCCTGTCAGCTCCACGCCGGTCTACGTCTGGTCTCCTCCCATCTGCAGCTGGAACCAGACGCTCAACTCAACTTTATTTATATCACACATTTTAAAAACAGCAGCGAAACACAATGTGCATAAAAATAAACAAACCAAAAAAAAAAAAAGAGCATAAAAGTAAAATTAATTGAATTTGGAAAAAACAGAACTGTGTTAACAGGCACAAACAGATGATAAATGCATAAAACACTGACTGTCACTGGCTTCAAACAGGCAAATATGGTTATTAATTTTACTCATTTTATTTTTAACATGGTCCAAACAAACCTTCATCGTCTTCATCAGGTGGAGTTGACGGTCGAGGCCTCTTCATGTCCGCCTGGTCAAGCTCCAGAGGTTCTTTCCTTTTCACCTGGACGAATGGACATCAACTATTTTTGTCAATTAATAATTATTAAATGCGAGTCCAATCTTTGCATTGTTAGGAGCTACAATAAACTAATACAACAATCTCTGTCAAAATAAAACAAAATACTAGCAGACAAAATTATAAATGTTAGAATAAGTGACGATAAACTTCTAAAATACTTTTTCTTAATTATGTTGAATTTGAATCTACAAACAACTTGTCTCAAAGTCTTAATACACCTCAACCTAAAAGGCAGGTGAGAAACGACAAAACACTAAAATTGTGAAATGAAGATGTTGACTTTTAAACCCTTAAGAGACTAAATTTAAAGTTTGCAGATGTGCGACTCGCTCACCTTGAAGGAAGGCAATCGAAGTGCTCCCCGGAGGGAAAAGCCCTCCACGCCTCCACTCTTGGCCCAATCCACAAGAGACATGAGAGGTTCCCGTGGCCGGTTGACCTTTTCCTCTTTTTTCTCATCATCCCGTAAAGCAGACACTCCTCTTACCATTGTCTGGAAAGGCTGAAAAGGGGATTTTAAAATTAAAAAGTTAAAAACAACATTTATAATCTCTAGGAGTGGTTTTACATTTAATATAAGTTTAACATCAGGTAGTTGTTTTTAGGTAGATGAAAACTACAAGACAAATTAAAATAACCTTTGATGTAAAAAAAAATAGAGTCACCGTGATACCATTACACTGAAATAAAATTAATGTTTAATGAAAGCGTCCTTCACCTTGGCCTTGGTCTCCTTTCTTTCCCACCACTCGTCAAAAGTGGCGAAGGCCACGTTTTCCACCATTTTACGGTTCATGTCTCTCTGCATGATGTTCTTCATCTCCTCAATCAGAGCAGCCAGGACCAGCTGCACCGTCGCCTCGTGTGGATTCTCAGCCAACATGGGAATCTGCTCCCCGGGAGCTCTGTACTCATTTTCATCCCCCGTCAGCATGGTGCCGTAACCAGGCGGGGGCATGTAAGACTGGTAGTGTGGAGGTAAGACGTGTGGTGGCCAGCCAGGGTGGGGAGGAGGAATGCCAGGGTGTGGTATTTGACTACTGTGGGGGTCGTGGTAGGGATAGGACATATGGGGGGACAAGTACCTGTGGTCTTGGTCATATTGAGCACTAGCCCCACTGCCTTCTTGGTCCATGTAGGGGTGGTGAGGTGGGGGCATTGAGTGAAGGTGATAGGACGTGTAATCTGCAGTTGCAGCCTCACCTGGACCTGGGGTGCCGTTGGATGAAGACATGCGCATCTGCTGTAAGCGACTTAGCATGTGAGTCTGCATTTGAAAGGACATTGGGGTTCCACCGCTGTACTGGTTCATCAGCTCCACTGAAGTGGCGTAATCATACATGTGGTGGGGCATCGGAGGAGGATACTCGGGGTGCAGCTCCATGTGAGAAAGAGGAGGAATCCCTGGCGGAGGTGGGGGCTGAAGGGAGTAACCAGGGGGAGGAGGTAAATGAGGAGGGTAGGAGGGTATTTGGGGGTGCATGGAAGTGCCAAAGTGCTGTGAAGAGTCTGAAATGGGTGGCGGAGAGGATGAGGGGTCTGCTGTCTGTGTTAATGCAGCCTGGGAGGAGGATGGTGAGGATCCTGAGGCGACTGATGGTTGATGGGTCGTCACTGTCGTTATAGCCGTCGCCTCCTCCTCCTCCTCCTCTGAGATCTCCATGTCTTCTCCAGAAGAATGCGGGGAGGCCTGACAAAACAGTGATTATGGTTTGAAGTTAGTAAACCACATGTGTTTGTGCACATTCCATTGTGATAGGCGTATTTAGATAACGCACTTGCACATTAAAATAAATTAAAACGCTTAAATTTCGACAAATTTGTTACCAACATATGTGTACAAGAGATGCTGACCAGCCAATAACTTCTATTTTTTTTTGTGTAAAATACAAGTTTATATCATTTTTGTGGCTGTTTTAACATCATGTCCACAAGATGGCAATACTTCAAATAACTAAATAAACAAAATGTAGAAATCATGGCAGCTGAAGGTTGAAAAAAAAATTATTGGCCAATACGTATTTTTCATTCAACAAAACTGAACAATGATAGCCTGAGATGAATGGACATTTAACAACTCTTACAACCCGTACACCTAAAGGAATATAAAGTAGAGCATTCTCATTTAAAAACCTAAATTGTTGGATAAATGAAGATGCTAATGCTGTAGCATCTTCATTTTCCTACTCGTTTAGTTTGTACACGCATGGTCGATTGCCAGTTTTTAAAGGTGGCTAAAATCAGCTGATTAAAATCAATCAAAGGATCTTTTGGTCAATTAGATTTGATTTTTCATTGATGACAGTACGGTTGTGGGACTTGCATAACGCGCAGTACGTACAACATAAACATTTGGGGCAATAAATTACAAGGCAGGTGATTGCAGCTATTCTGTTAAATCTTTTTTTTCCATTTGTGCACTGACGACCACATTTCTGTTTTAGTGCATAAAATGTAATTATTCACGAGGCCTGTCACGATAACAAATGTTGCTGGGCGATGGTCTCAGAAATTATTGCGATAAACAATAATATTGTTTGAAATTTGACAATAATTAGTAATTATTGTCAAATTTAAGAAGAAATGTTGATTAATTTTTGTGTGTAGTACCTTTTCTGGATGGCAGTATAAGACAGTTTGAACCGATGGATGGATAGCGAGGGAGCGAACATCGTGTCTCTTTAAGAAAAAATGGGAGGGAGGCCCCTTGACATGACATGGGCTGTCTCTCGTTCCTGTTTTTCGGTTCTCAAAATGACGAACGCTCGGTGTGGTTTGAGCTCTTTAGCATAGCATTTTTCACACAAAGTTTAAAATAAAATAAAAAAATCAGTAAACAAGTTCTCAGCTTATTTTTTGCAGCGAAAAACAACTTTTTACACGAAGGCACGGGTTTCAACCGTGAATTTTTGAGCTTCGAGAAGACGGAGGTTTTCCCCCGGGCCTGTTAGCTTAGCTCGTAGCTTAGCTTCTTTTAACGATCCAAAAACGCAATTTTGGATTGTTAAAATGGATTTAAAGAGAAACGAGAAAGAGAGGCGTCAGTGAGGAGCACCGGAGCCTTTTGTCATCCAGTGTCTTCAGTAGAAAGAGAGACACGAAGAAATGATAAAGCCGATAAATGAAAATGAGGTTGATAATTTAAATTTATCATGCGATTAACTGATTTATTATTTATCGCGACAGGCCCAATATTCCGTTTACAAAAGCATTTCTACCTGACTCTGTCCGTTAAAGGGTGGCGTGTGCGCTCCTGTCCTGCTCTCTGCATCAACAGAACCAGTCTGAGAAGACTCTTGTTGTGACGTTCCAGTCCCACCAAGGCTGACCTGTGGTTGAGGTTCTTCTTGAGGTAAGACAAGAGGAGAAAAGGTGGAGGGGGGCTGTGTGGCTGCTGTAGGTACAGTCGGGCTTTTACTACCCTCTCCTCCTTTTCCCCGTTTCCTTCTTCTGTGGTCATCTCTGTCCCTTTCCTCTTTCTTCCTGTGGTCTTCCTCCCCATCATCTCTCATGTGCTCCTGCTCATCCATTATTTCACCAGGCTCACCTCTTTGATCTGCTTCATCTCCTCCCCTGCCCTTCTGCTTCTCTTCTTTCCTGTCTTCCTCATCTTCCTCGTCAGAGGCAAGAAAAGAAAATTTAGCTTTTTGCTCTTTTAGGAGCATCTCGATTCGAGAGTCCAGGCTGCTGCTGTGGTAGACGAACGGTAAACTCTCGTTTGTGGCATCGGGCTCTGGAGACGAGTCCCTGTGAGGGGGCGGTGGGGAGTTGGAGGAAGAAGAAAGATGGTGAGGAAGGGAGGCTGACGAAGGAGAGTTAGAGGAGGAAGTGATGGTAGGGTGAATGGGAGAAGAAGGAGGGGGTGTTTTGGGTGGGGCAGGTGGAGTGCTGGGATGGCGTTTGGGCTTTGTCCATTGGTCCTCGGGGGCGGGACTGTCCTGGTTGAAATCCAGTGTTCCTAAAGTGTCAGCTACAGCTGCTGCAATAACGGAAGCTGGTGGGAGTGGTGGTGGTGGTGGAGGGGGAGGTGGAGGCAGAGCACTGTGATGATCAGCATGGTAGTCTTTGTCAGAGCCCGCTGAGGGCAGAGAACCCCTCTCTGCTAGGCTTGTGCCCCCCGACCGTGTTGAAATGTCCAATCCCTGAGGAGGGGTTGGGGCAGATTCTTTGGAGGAGTAGGCAGAGGGAGGAGACATGCTGTTAGAGGATGACCGATAAGAGTTCGAATTGTATCTGGGGTCAGAACTATTGGAGTAATCACTGTCTCTGTCCCGTTCTCTGTCTCGGTCGTGGCTGCTTTTTCTGCGACTGCTGCTGCCGTGGTGATTGTGAGAATGGTGGTGGTTCCTGTGCCTCTGGTGACTGTGGTCACTTGACCGGGAGCCCAGGCTGTCTCGCCGGTAACTCCTGTCTTCCCTGCGCTCTGAATGGTGGTGGGAGTGATGAGAATGGTACTTTGAAGAAGAGTTTGTGTCCTGCTGGTGATGGAAAGATGACCTTCTAGAACCAATCCCCCCAGGCCCATACCTGCCCCCTGAGTCTCTTTCACGGTCTCTTTCCCTGTCTGACATTAAAGGATGATCAAACTGGTTGGAAATAGGTGGGGGAGGCATTGCAGAGTGATGTGCTATATGTGGCCCAGGTCCTCCAAGATTAGGGTAAGGGGGATAACAAGGTGGCTCATTGAGACGGTATGACGGGGGGTATCCCGGGCGGCATCGATGGTACACTGAAGGGTCCTGTTCATCAGGGTAACGAGATACTTTGTATCCTCCAACAGAGGATGAGACTGCAGAAGATGAAGAGGAAGACGGCAACATGTCTTGGGGAGGATAGCCACTGTCCAAAGAGCTTGTGTTGAAGCCAGTATGCCTGCACGAAAGAGATGAGTTAGAATAAATTATTACACAGTTGACAAATACACAACTATGGGTCAGAGCTTCCTGAAGATAGTGCCTCCAATAGGGATGATCACATGACTGCCTGATTCAAAAGCTTGTTGGCGGGCAGAAAAACAACACACACTTTTTATACAGGATCACAAATGAAAATTATGCAATCCTACGTTGTAGTTGGACGCGCAAATGAGTGAGAAACGATATAGAATTTCCTCGCATTGTATGCCGAGCAAAAACTAAAATAAGTTAAAAAATAAGTGGCTCTCTGCGATCAACAGAAAGGGCTGAATCCAGAATAACGAGGACCACGTCTGTGGCGTTTATTTCCATCAGGCAAATTTGGTTAATAGATTTAAGGCAGATCTTCTGTGAACCGTCTCCTTTATGCATGCACAGCTCACACTGTCCTCAATACATGTTGATCTGAACTGATATAAAAACAAGTCTCAGGATGTGTAACCTATTTACACTAGGGAAGACCTGGAGAACAGCTCAGAACAACAGAAAATGAGCCTGTTGGATTTATTTGACTATTATCAATCTGACTAATTTACAGGAAATTGAGATTTCCCGTTTGTGGTGATCCAGAGTTGTTCAATGCGCGTGTCACTGGGGGTACAACAAGAGAAACTTGTAAAATTATGATTACATTTGACACTTGCTGTATTATATTTCTAGCGATTTGTAGACAGACCTTCAGCAACTCTCTTGAGAACAAATGTAAAGATTTGATCAGATTCTACTAAATGTCAATGTAATCGGCCTCTATCAATGGCAGCAGTCAATAAAAGATAACCAGTTAACCAGAAAATAACTAAACAAAGTGAGGTGAGCTTTTTTTTTCCATCAAGTATTTTGATCTTATTTGATTAAAATACACCAATATTACATTTGTATTTTATCTTGTGGCATCAGATATCACTGTATCACCCATCCTTCATGCCAAGTAACTGCAGCAGTTAAATTCCAGCTTCTAATCAAATTTAATCAAAACAGATGAAAGTTATGCAAACAAAAATACTCAATTTACAACAGTGTTTCCCCTACAATTATACAAGCAGGGTGCCCCGCCCTGTCAACAGAACCGAGCGCCCTGCCTACACAGCCAAACTGTCTCCCACACCCGGGTCGACAAGTGCCGGCACTAACGTAGCGCTGAGCTAGCAGAGTGCAATACAGGAGAGCTAGCTAAAAAGCTACAGAGGTAGCGCTCCGTTTCCCTCACACTGATACACCCCCCCCCCGTCAACAAAAAATTAGATGAGTGTCCTGCCAAGGCAAGTAATCTAGGGGAAACACTGCTCAACAATACACTAAAGATTGTTCTTTATTTTATTTGAAGTATAACCCACCTGTTGCTGGTGTATCCTGAGTCTTGTGAGAAAGGAGTCCCAGATCTGGAGCTGTAAGGTGTTCCTCCACCTTGAGACGAAGCAGAGGAGGTTGGGGTGAAGGGGCCAGCTTTGGAGGAGGGGGGAGTGTCTATACGCTGATCACTGAAGCTGGTGTCGACAGAACATGGTGTGACACTTCCCGATGTAAGAGCCTGTACCCCTGCTGCTAAAACTGCAAGCTCACTGGAAAGTCTCCGCCTGATCTCCGACTGCTATGAAGAAAGAACGTTTACATAACACGTTGAAAATTTAAGCAAGTATACTTTGCTCACAAATTGATGTTGATTGATTTTAATGAGACACTGCCAAACACGACATATCAGTTCAGTGGAAGTCTTGACATAAATAAATTTAAATATATATTTAATCAGACCTAAAATAAAAATGTTAGCTTTATTAATTTAATCCCAGGTTAATTTTGTTGGCAAAAAGGATTGTGACAGATACAAACAAATAAAATAAATATGTATTAATTATTAAACTGTAAATTACTGCTAACTGAGATATTTAAACAGCTGTCATACCGTGTCAGGCTGAGGCTGTGTTGGAGTCTGAGACTGAACCCGGTCTGCCAAAGCCTTTCCTCCCAGAGGCACAGTCTGAGGAGTGTAGGACCCATTCACTATCAGGTCATAATACTTCTGCCTTTGTTGACCTGGAAGAAAAAGCAAAAAAACAAATGTTTTATTACTTTAGTTTAGGTTTAGAGGCAGTTAGGAGCTAGGAACATGATTTTCAGAGTATACATGAAAGCCATTAGCACAAATGAACTAGATGACACACTGTTTCTCTCTATATTTTTCTGCAAACTACAGCATAATAATAAAAGCATAATTTGTTCGTTTCTCAACAATTTAAATTTTAAAAAAGGTGTAGGTTGTGCTTATTTCAGGTTTGCATGTTAGCAAAGTGTTAAAACTGCTGTCAAACATATTCCAGACACAAGTATACCATCTTGTTTTATTGACCTTACAGATTAAAGATGCCTCAAATGTAGTGTCTTAGCTTACCTTTTATATCCAGCTGAGCGTGAATTATGTTACCCATGACAGAGGTATTGTGCAGGTGCTTGACTGTGTCCTTTGCTCCTCTGGTGCTGGTGAATAACACCCTGGCCAGACCCAAGTGCTTTCTGGTTTTGGGATGAAACAGGATTTCCATTTCCTCCACCTCTCCAAACTTGGCACACATTTCTGCCAAGAAGGGCTCCTTGATGTTGTCATTGAGTCTAGCAAAGGTTACCTCTTTGAGGGGTATGGGACCCACATAGAATTCATCAAGCTGTGGAAAAAACAAGCCAAGGTCAGCTGTAGTCAATGCAAAAAAGAAAAAACACACACAAAAACAAACAAAAAAAGCTGAGCCACTTCTGATTGGTCTTTGTAACAAGAGTAACAGCATTTGTTCACAAAAACATATTTTTAATCCAATAATAAAAAATCTATGTTTGAAAAGGCATTAGGTAAATTTTAGCATTATAATAATAAAAATAAATAAAAACTAGTTTGCAACTGGCCACATACGATAACATTGCATGGCTATTTATGGAGAATACTACAAGAAAACTTGTTGCAAATCAACAAAATAAATTGTGTAATTACTATAAATGTAACTAAACAAGTATTTTAAAAAGTATTGGTACTTCATTTGATGAGTACATTCCAGTAATGAAGCAGACCCTGCTATTTCTTAATGAATAAACTATTACTTTGTGTCCTTGTTTACATTATCAGAACAAGCTGCTGCACTTGATTATGTCAGCTTCTCTACGGCTGCAGCGCTACGGACTGCATGACACTTGCACTAAAATTCCATACACACTTTGAAACTTCTTGTGTAGTCTGTAACTACATCATTCCATATGATGTTGCAAAGTAACATAAAACGTCATCTCCATCTAGTTATTTACCAGTTAGAGTTTCTTGTTTTCTCATTCTCAATTTTGGGGGGAATTTCTTTTCACCCACAGAATTTGGAAATCCATTTAAATCACATGTGACTGTGTACCTGAGATAGATTTATTAAAAATTAAACTTTAATTCATACAAGACAGCTTTATTAGTAAATATTTGGGGTCATAGTGAGTTGGATATTATCTGAAATTATTACCATGAATGTAACTGTTGTTCTGCCAAAATATGTTTTATTGTTAAGTAAAAGACGGATATTCACTTAAAAGTTGAAAACGATGGGGATTTGAACAAACTTAATTAAATTAGCTCTTAAACAGCAAGCAATAGTATAAAGACCAGCAGTACTCACCTTAAATTTTGGCACTGGTAGAGACAGGTCACTATACCTGGACCATAGTCTTCGGGGTCTGGGATCTCGGAGATCTCCCACAGGAGGAAATCCAGAGTCCTGGAACAAAACAAATAGGTTGCAGGTCAAAAACACGTGATGAGAGAATATGCACATCATAAATAAAAACTGGACTCACTGGCACACTGAAATGCACTCCATCATATCTGTAAATCTTCTGCGTAACTCTCCTGATGGCTGGGTCCTGGACGAGTTTGTAGCTTTTCCATTGCAAACTGACAGCTTTTTGTGTTTCTATCCCACTGTCTGGATCCATCCTACAACTGAGCAAATCAAATTATTACAAGCAATGCAGGAAAAACAAACAAAAATCGCGACAAACTAAAACAATTAAACTGGTGTCACTATTTGGTAGCTAGTATAAGCGAAATAAAGACAAATGTGACATGTTGCATTAATATTTACTTATCAAATTAAGACATTCTGGATGCTAGCAGTAGGCATCCGGTGAGAAAACGTAATGAAAAGATGAGCTGCGTCACATCATTAGGCATCGAATTAACTTTTGAACACACTCTGTGATAATGATAAATGTCTGATTTCGAGAAGATTAATTTTAGCATTTTTTTATATATCGTCGGTCTCGGTTAAGCGGCTGCTTGCTGTCAAAACAATGACTACCGTTACGTCACTCAATGATCAAACCGTTCAGCTAGCATCCTGCTGCTAGGCGAAGCTAAACGGCACCAACAAAATATAAATAATTTGAGTCCGTTAGCGTCGAGAAAAAATGTATGTCAAATGCAGCTAATTCGCGTTTCAAAAACGTTTCTCAAAACCAGCATTACAAGTTGTTATAGTCTAGTATGACGTTAACCGATATAAAATTAGTTGTCTGCTCGTTTTAGCCAAAGCAAGTTGACGCTACCTTTAGGCTAATGCTAACTAGCAAGTTAGTTTACATTCTGATCTTGTTGACCTTCCACCACCACGCATCGTATTTACCGCTATCATCTATGTTGGGCGCATGTTTTCGAAGCGTTACCTAGTAATTCTGGCTTCGGTTGACCAACATTAAGACCCCACCTCTTGGAGATCCTAGTACGCGCTCAGCCGAAAGTAGCAACCCGCCGCTACAGTGTAGGCAGCTACAGCCAGGCCCGCGCGACGATCAAGAAAAACACTGGGACAACCTCCAGAAACAGAGCACCCCGACGCAGACTTAAAGCAAAACCGCCGAGCTACAACGACACTGCTACCATTCTGATAGTCAGTCGAGACAGCGACGAACCACTTGAAGCAACGAAGTCATCGTTTTCTCTGTAAAATCCAGATATTGTTGAGAGAGCGGCCATCGCGAAACCAACCTGAAAGCCTCGCCTGCTCTCCATCAGTATACGCTGTAACGCAAACACAACCTGCGGTTTCTCACCATCACTTTCGTCACTTGGAAGATTTAACAAATAAAATATTGACGTCATTACATAATTATTAAACACCAAATTTTAATCAAACAAACAAAAACATATTAATTATGTTAAAATTATGTGTATTAAAAAAGTTAAATTTTGTACTATAAAATGCGCGAATCTGCTAGTATTATTTCAAGTCTTTGAAACGTCACTAGACCGCCCCCTACAGGCTGAGTTTTTAAAACAATGCTATTTTTTTTTTTACACAATTTTATTTATAATTTTACATTTATCAAAGTGTTTTTTTAAATAATACATTTTCACCGTCACTGAAATACGCTGACAATGTACAAAACTTAAACACGTTTTAACAAACATTAATTTATGAAACAATTCCTAGACATTTGAAATAAATTCAAGTGGACAGAATTATGAATATTTTTTACAATCACTATTAAAAATAGTTGGGATTAAGAAAAAAGATCACAATTGTCCAATAAACCCCATTACAAGTGATCTTTCCTTAAAATCCTTCATGACCTAACTTCACACTAAAACTGTCACCAAAATAGACCTGACTGAAAATTGTTGGATTATATACCTGGATTATTGAGCATGGACTTTTTAGTCAGCAAAATAGTATCATTGATTGACAACAAACTAAATTAAGCTACAATTTATTACTGAACTGGACGTATTAAATACTTTTAAGCACTTCAAACAAAATAAGTTGTTTTCCACAGTCATCTTCATCGTTGCAGCTTGAAAACATGTAAATCAATTCAACAAAGTTGTACTAAACATTTAAAACCAGACCACAACTCAGAAATTTCTTAAGCATCTTTTGGTAATACAAAAACTTTACATTTTAGTTAAATGACTAAGTAAATCAGGGGTTTGCAACTTGCGAGCATGTGGCTCTTTGTAGCTTTAATCAATAATGCAATGAAAATAGATGTTTATGTTCATAACCACAATACAAAAGGCAATTTTTGTCAGTTTTCTAATGCAAAGTGTGACTAAAATGTTTATGGCAATAAACAAAACAGCTCAGTTTGCTGCAGTAATTTGTCCTTTAGCCTCTCCATTAATCCACATCAAAACTGAGCAGTTTAACACATTTCAGGGAAGTTGCTGATGGATCAAAGAGTATTTTAGTACATATTCCTATACCACAAGACATTAATAAAGTGCATTTGCCATAAATATGGCAAATCTTGATAGTTTGACGTACCTTTGATTTAAAAAATAACTAAATGAGGGTCTTTATTTGAAAACAAAATTGAGTAAAGCAATTAAAATTTTCAACATGGCCTAAGTTTTTATGTTTATTCCAATTAGGATGCCAGTGATCATTTTAATTTCTATTACATATATATTTTCACAAAAACAGACACGCACAGGCTTTCATAGTTTATTAATGTTATAAAAGGAACAAGAAATACAAAATATTTCCTCACCCTTTCCTATCAAGTTCGGCCTTTTTGTAAAAATATCAAAAAATGAACATTAATTTGAGCCCTTAACGAGATCAGCAAATTAAAAGGGAGGAAAGGGGTGGAAAACATTCTGATTAGAAAAGTTGCACACCCCAGGACTGAACGGTCTTCGTGTTGTCCTCAGGTTTGAACGTTCAGTCTCACAATCATTACTCTGTGAAACCGTTAGAGGCCAGACAGGATCAGTGGGTCCATTACAGCGTGACCAGAAACAAGCCCGAGTAACTCAATCAGTTGTGGGACCGCTGACACGACAGACGAGTTAAAATTAGCTGAAACCTCCTCCCACTCCGGCCTCCTTTAGCCACTAACTCCAGGAGGTCTGGGTTAACCCACGACAAACTTTGTTTTTTAAACACAGTACATTTGTATCACTATTAACCAGCAATATGTGGAAACATACCATGAAAGACGGTTTTCTAAGACTCCAGTGCATTTATTGTTCGCTCAGATTAGAAACAGCCTGAAGGATCTCGATTTCAAACCACACACACGTATATATTAAAATTTATTTGACATTACAGCTTAAAGATTACAATAATGCAAATATATTTCCAATTAAATCACAGAAATGTGTTCAGTTCTTTAAAAAAGTGGCACAAAACCACCAAATAGTGTATTCATTAGCAGATTATGTTTAAAAAGATGAGAACCAAACATCTTTCCAACAGACGGAGGCAGTATTATGGGATGGGATGGAGAGAAAAGAGGGGGACGCTGAGCCAAGCGTTGCTTTTGTGTGCTCGGATGCTTTATTATTATTTTTCCCCCCTGTAGTGATCTTTCACATGGCTTTCACTTTGATTTGCTTCATCTTCATCTGCTTCTTCTCAATCTTCTTCTGCTCCCGCCGCTGCGCCGCTTCCTGCAGAACAAAAGTAAAGAGTTTCCAGTTAAAACGAATAAAACACGAAGAAAGCTTCACTCAGCAGGACCGCCTGTTTGTGTGACTGCGGAGTACGAAATCCAGAGTTTTTTCTCTTTAGAGTTCGTTTATCACATCGTTTATTTTCAGTAGGCCTGTCATGATAAACAATAAATCAATTAATCGCACGATAAATAAAAATGATCGACCTCATGTTCATTTATCGGCTTTATCGTTTCTTCGTCTCTCTCTTTCTACTGAAGACACTGGATGACAAAAAGCTCAACTCCGGTGCTCTTCACTGACCCCTCCCTTTCTCTTTAAAATACATTTAACAATTCAAAACCGTGTTTTTGGATCATTAAAAGCAGCTAAGCTGAGAAGCTAAGCTACGAGCTAAGCTAACAGGCCGACCTCGGGGAATAAACCTCCGTCTTGTCAAAGCTCCAAAATTCACGGTCGAAACTCGTGCCTTCGTCTAAAAAGTTATTTTTCTCTGCAAAAAGAAGCTGAGAACTTGTTTACTGATTTTTTTATTAAAAGCTTTGTGTGAAAAATGCTAAAGAGCTCAAACCACACAGAGCGTCCGCCATCTTGAGAACTGAAGAGAGCCCATGTCACGTCAAGGGGCCTCCCTCCCATTTTTCTTAAAGAGACACGCTGCTCGCTCCCTCACTATCCATATTTCGGTTCAAACAGCCTTATACTGCCATCTGGTGGTCATAAAAAGGTACTACACCCAAAACAAATTAAACATTTCTTCTTAAATTTGACAATATTTACTAATTATTGTCAAAGTTCAAACAATATTATCGTTAATCTGAATAATTTCTGAGAATTAATCGCCCAGGAATATTTGTTATCATGACAGGCCTAATTTTCAGCTACTTTAGCTGCTCGTATTTCAAAAAGTTTCTCTCGTTCAGGACATCAGGGCTACAACTTTTGTTTTTGCAACTTTAATATTTAATTGTATTAAACGTTTTCCTCATCAAAACATGAACGTATGAAATGAAACGCACTAACTTTAGCTTGTAGCTACTGCTCTGCAAACTTTACCTTTTACCTCAAGTTACGCTAGTTTTAGCTTTGCTGGATTTAAATTTGTAGCTACTATTTAGCACATTTTAGCTACTCTTTTGTTTGTTTTGGCATTTAGTGTTTTGCAAATTTGAGCTTTTCTAATGTGCTAAATTTGGCTTTTAGTTTTTGCTCTGATCATTTCAGCTTCAGCTTCTTCAGCAAATTTCAGCATATTTGCAGAAAATTCTTTAGTTTAATCTGAAAACGAACAACATCCGACTAATTAATAATTTCTGTGAGTTTTATCTGGAATAAAACCAGGACTTGTTGGTTGAGTGTGTTGAGCTGTCAGACCTCCAGGCGGCGCTGTCTGTCAGGGTCCTCCTCGTTCATGATCCTCTCCTTCTCCGCTCTCTTCTTCTCCTCTCTGCGCGTCTGCGCCGCTTCCTGGCGCTGAGTGTGGGTCTGCTTCAGAAAGTTCTCCTCCACGCGAGCCCGGTTTCTGTCAGCTTTCAGTTTGCCCTGAAAGTCCAAAGAGGATTTGAGAACAGCTCGACTTCGAAAGCTGAAACGGGGGAACACGACGGTGTCGGCTCGGCACTCGCCTCTCTGTTGAGACGCAGCTTCTTGACTTTATCGATGCTGTAGATCACCATGTTCATGAGAGGAAGCAGAGAGTCCATGTCTTTGGGAGACGTGTTGCCCATGCCAGGCACTACACACAACATCATTCAGCACAAATTACACAAACAGAAGCAAACAAATGCACTGAAAAGATCCTGGGACTGAAAGGGCTCACCAATAAATGTAAACAGGAGTGTCTTCTTGGTCTCGGGCAGCTTCAGAGGCTGACCGTCCCTGAAGAACAAGGCGTTAGCGCTTCGTTAAAATCACTGATTACGAAGGAAGACGAAGGAAACACTTACTCTTGCATAACTTTTGGACCAGAAAATTGGTCCGAGAAATGGATTGACTCAATCTTGTCCGCATAGTTGGTGATATAGTGTACCATCTAAAAAATAAAAATACCACAAACGGATCGAAAAGTTACAATGACAGAGCTACAAGTTGAGCTGTGGTCCTTTTAGCTTGTAAACAGAAAGCTTCACCTTGTTGTCCATCACACCATCCGTCACCTCGCCCATCTCACTCAGAATGGCCATCGAGTCTGGAAGCCCGTACTTGGCCCCGGACTTCGGCTTGTCGTTGCAGAACTCGCTCTGCCAATAAAACATTTCATACCGAATAAGTGAATTTGCACCAAAAGTTAAAAGCCGTGTGCGAGTACAGTCTGTGCACAAGTACAAACGATACAAATGAAGGTTTCTGTGGAAGATATTCACCAAGTCCTGCATCTCCTTCTGCAGCCGAGCCATGGCCCTCTTAGCTCCGACAGCAAACACGAAAGTATCCATGTCCTCGTCATTAAGAGTCACTTTGACTTGCTGCAAACCAACAAACAAGACACGGTCATCAAAACCGAAACATCCCTCATTGCAGTGACAACATCTGCAACTTTTGTTTCTCACGTCCTGCTAAATGCGTCCTTAAATTAAAAGCAATAAACAAAATGTGTGAACGGCTGCCACTTGTGTTTGTTTACCTACAAAAACCACTGAAGTGACTGAAAAAGGGGCCAATAATCAGAACTTCCACTCTAAAGTCATTAGGGATGGAGACGTATGACAGTTTTGGTGTTTTGATTTATTGAGTAACTACTGGTGAGCAGAAAACACCAAAGTTCATGCTCAATAATCCAGGTAGAAAGTCCTGGAGCAGATACAAGTTTTTCGTACCACTTGGTCGCAGGCGGGCCTCATCATCCTGGTCAGAGTGTTGAGCAGGTCCTGCCTCTTCAAAAACTTCCACAACCAAATAAATTAATTAGAAACACAGATTATAAAATGATATAAACTTAGAAGAATGCTGTAAAGCATGGGCGATACCTTGAGCTGAATGAGCATGCCCTCGCAGCACACTCGCCCAGAGCACCACAGGTTGTAGATGTGTTCATTTTCCTGATTCAGCTTCCCGGTACTCACCGCTTCTTTACTCGTACCGTCGTCACCTTTCACACACATGTTGAACTTTTTGAAAATATAATCCACTGCATTGTAACTATACAGGGAAACAACGCGAGGCAATGATCCAGACACTGCAGAAGTGAGAGAGGAGCAAAACAAAGAGAAGAACTCACCCACTAGAGCAAAGTTGCTCTCCAGGAGCTCTCTGTGCGAGTTAAACCAGGCCTGAGCGAGGCGACTGTTTTTGTTCTTGCCGATGATGTAGTTCATGATGTAGGACAACAGGCCGGTCACCATCAGGATCTCCATGTAGTAACTCTCCCAGCTGTTTTGAAGATGCGCAGGAACCTGCAGAGAAACAGCGAGTGCCCGTGTGTTTGTGTTATACTGCAGCAAATTTACGACAAAAAAACCCACACCTTTTTTAAACGATTCGACAGACTTTTGACAGGTTTGTTTGTGCTCTCTCGTGAGTAAAGTATAAAAAGGCAGCACCGTACGGGAAGAACATCAAACCATGTCTGATACAAGTGCCTTGACGTTAGCGGAGTCAGTTTGACACAGTTCCTGAACCGTATGAACTAATTACATCAAACAAACCAAACGCCTGATCAATAAAACTAACAGCTGTGAGTTAGGCTAAAAGAAACCACTACTGACAAAGTCAAACTTGGAAAGCTGCCATGAAAACGGTAATATTTTGTGTATTCACAGCTTTATTTTGCTTTTAGTTAACCTCCTATTGTTGCAGAAAGTGTCATGTGTAAACAGCGCATCCAACCTGTGCTCACATTCAAACTGACAGCATATAACCTGCTGACTTCGTTCTCAGGAGATTTAAGCAATAAGCCCGGTTTACCGTGTGGATTATGAGGGGGTCCTTCATGGAGTGGCTCGTCTTCTCCATGTCTCCAATCCCCTCAAACTCCTCCTGGTCATATTTGCTGTACATATCTTGATCCTTGAGAGGGGAAAAACAAACATTAAACGACTGCAGGCTATTAAATATCATTTATGTATTTATCTCAGAATGTGATCAAACTGACGATTAAAAAAAAGTTTTATACTTGTGTTTCAGAGTCCTCAAAGCCATCTTGGCCATCCTCCAGCTCCACGGTGGCTTCGTCTTCATCCTCTTCAGGCTGTGAGGATGCTGCGACACGTGGCGGGGGAGCGGTTTCTGCCTCAGCCGTCTGATCATCATTCATGTCCTCAAACTCAGCAAAGTCGTTGTCGTCAAAGTCTGCCACGTCCTCCCCATCGTCAAAGTCATCGTTGTAACGTCCCTTGGAGACGGGAAGTGCCAGGAGGAGCAGCAGCGTAGGAACGAGGAGGAGATACGCACTCCGCATGGCGGAACCTGCAAACTATGGATGCAACAAAACAATAAGCGATGAAGAAAAAGAAGAAATCAGAAGCACAATTGATAAAATATTTAAAAAACAAAACACAAGGGCTGAGATTCAGACCAGAAATTTGACATTGCTAAGGGGAAAAACCTAGAAGTTTATAAATTAAACATCATCAGGGTAAAAGAAAAGCATTCAAAACATAGTCCTGGAGGAAGTTCTCCCTAAGATTAGACCCTGCAATGAAAAACACCAGGAATCTGCAGACTACAGGCCTCAACATCAAGTTTATAACAGGACATCTAACTGAAGTGGCAAAAAAGCCTTTTTTTTTCTAAACAGGCAGAACATATTAGGTTTGAAATGATACAACTGAAAACAAAAACAATAATAAAAAAATAAATAAAACTAAGGGAAATTCACACTTCACTGTGAAAGACGCAAAACAACATGAAATGATCGAAGAAACTCGGGTTTTATTTTAGCTGAATCTCAACAGAGCTAAAGCTCAGACGAGTTGAGGCACAATAAACCCACTGAAGTGAACTAATTCATTATATCTAACTTCACACATTTAACATTTCAGTTACACAACGATAGTTATGAATAAACACGAGCGCACCCAGCTCCCACTTAGCGCAGTTAGCATGTTACCATTAGCATGCTAATGCGGCTAACATGCGTAGTACATTTCCTGCCAAACAACCAGTCATTTAAACATAAACCAAACTGCTTCTTCTCAACATAACTCGCTTGAAACAGACATTCTGAAAGCAAAGTAGTGAACGAGCATCTTGAAAAAGCACCAACTAACCGACGGAGGTAGTAAAGGTTAAATTGGATGAGAATAAGAAATCAGGTCCGTCCTTGAAGTGATGCTAACCGGAAGCAGGAAGCTCACCAACACGGTGGATTGTTCAAAACAAAAGCACTACTGAGCAGCAAAATCTGGACTATTTTGTCAACTAACAGTAAAGTAATGTTTTTAGCTTCAGCGATACACATGAAAAACACAGCTACAAAACAATGGTCATTTTTCTTTACATCATATCATAAAAATAAGGAGAAAAACGGTAAAGTTAAAATCCTTTAATATTGTCCGTGCTAGATATTGTGCCCTCTTGTGGTTATAATGCGTAACTACATGTTTTCTTCATAACGATTTCCTTTGGGGAAAAAATAAAAACAAAACAATAAATAAATATGTGAAATGTGTTTATTAATTATTAATAAATAGTATTTATTAATGAATATCTATTGGTGCGAAAAAAATTAACAGCTGCTTAAGATTTTATTTGATATGAGTCAGAGTCAGAGAGTCTTTATTGTCATTCGCACCTCATGTGGTACATGTGGTGGTGCGAAATTATGTACACAGGGTCCCAGTTACATCCAACAATAAAATGTAGAAGAAAAACAATGATGACATCTAAGATATGTTTGTGCTGATGTTCAATGTTTTATGTAATGAGTGCTTAGTGTATATTTAGTTGATGTTTTTCTTAGTTCATATCTTAGATGTTATTACTGTTTTTCTTATACATTTTATTGTTGGATGTAACTGGGACCTTGTGTACATAATTTCGCTCCACCACATGTACCACATGAGGTGCGAATGACAATAAAGAAACTCTGACTCTCTGACTCTGATATGAACTAAGAAAAACATCAACTAAATATACACTAAGAGCTAATAGCATATAAATATTACGTCGAACATCAGCACAAACATGAACATGAGTCTGTGTCTTCAGTACAGAAACAAAGACAGACAATGGAAAATAGTAACAATAATAACAATAATAATAACAATAATAATAATAGAGTTAAGTTTTTTTTAAAACTTACAAGTTCGTATTGAAATACCGTAGTTTTATTTTATTATTATTAAGATAATACTGTGTACTGTACAGCAATTCTGGGTTATATACTGCCCTCTCGTGGTCGTAATGCGTTACTACATGCGCTGAATTATAAAGTTTACTTTGAAAGAGTTAACAGGAAGTACATATTTATTGTAACGTATTACTTGATAAAACTATGTCGTAGTTACCATTTGTGAGAAACAAAGGCGAACTCACGTTAACAAAATCACTTGGGTTCTTATGTATTTGTCAAACTAATTTGACGAACACAAAATTTTGTTTAAACATATATAAAAATACTAAAACCACCGCTGTGCTTTTAATTTGTATTTTCAATAACCGGAAGTTTATTTTTTTGACCAACGAGAAGAAACCGGAAGTTGATTGCATTAAATTTCACTTGACTTCATGTCGCGGGCGAGCAATGCTACCCTTTGTTAAGAGAAGTGCTGAGAAATCTCGTTTAGAAACAAGACTGGCTTAATCAAACCGTCGGTGTCGCCGAGTTTCTCGGTGCTCGTTCTGAAACGTGAAACCGCTCGTTCCGAGTTCATTCACGGAACTTCTTTTTTCACAAGCTAGCGTGTTAGCCGTGCTGACAACTGTTCGGAAAGATGTCGCTTCACGGCAAGAGAAAAGAAATCTACAAATACGAAGCTCCATGGACGGTGTACGCCATGAACTGGAGCGTCCGTCCGGACAAACGCTTCCGGCTGGCTCTGGGGAGTTTTGTAGAAGAATACAACAACAAGGTGCGCAACGTTATTGTCACAACAGCTAGCTAGCTAATGCTAACTGTTGGACATCGTGGCTCCACACACCAGCGCTTGTTCTGCTCTTTCCACCACAACTGATGGTTTTTAGGAGTTGTGGTGGTTTGGTTGATAACCGTATGCTGATATTTGCTCCTTCTTTGGTTCATGATCTTAAATGCCCTTGTTTGTTCTGCTCAGGTTCAGCTGGTGGGTCTGGAGGAGGAGAGCTCAGAGTTTGTGTGCAGGAACACGTTTGATCATCCTTACCCCACCACCAAGATCATGTGGATCCCAGACACCAAGGGGGTTTACCCAGACCTGCTGGCCACCAGTGGGGACTATCTGCGCATTTGGAGGGTGAGATGAAACCTGCTGTTGGTTATTAATGGTTGAGAGTTTTCATTCCCCTTACACACTGAAAGAGACTGAACACTGAGACTATCCAGTTCAAGATTTTTGTGTCAGTACTCATTTTATTATCTAAACACATTAGGCCTCGAGGCTCAATGGGATTTACCTGTCTAAACAAAGGTTGAATGAACCAAGGTCCTTTTTCCTCGTTAAAAAAGTGTGGTTAGTCAAAGCCGAAACTGTTGGTGCAATATAATAATAATAATAATGTCAGCACTGTATGTTTCCATACAATGGCGAAATTAGTCTCTGCATTTAACCCATCCACCACCAGGTGGTGCAGTGGGCAGCTATTGAAAGTGCCCAGGAGGCATTTTGGGGATGAGGTGTGCTGCCCAAAGACACCACGTGATGTGCAGTGACTGGGGATCGAACCTGGGACTTCTGGGTCCCAAGCCGGCTGCCCTGCCTCTACACCATCTCGGCCCCCATATATCTTTCTAATACCGTATTTTTTGGCCTATAAGTTTCAGCTTTTTGCATAATTTGCATGCCCTGCGACATATGCTGAAGCGACATATTTATGGAGTTTTTCCCCCATATTTATAAACCAATTTTTGGCTGAAATATGATCGTTTTCATTCTGACTGAAAATATTGAACACTACCATTTTCAGCCGCTAGATGGCACCACCATGCGTTGTATCATGTAATAGATAAAAGTGGCTATTAATGACACAATCGGCTTGTCATATATCGCCTCTTTCGTCCAGCTCGTCTGGAGCAACCGTCAAATCAGCTTCATTTTACTGCACCGCCCCGATGAAATGCATCTGATTTGACCATTGAAGTGCATTAAAGTCGAGCAAACATAATTTGGTGGTTATCTGGTTAAATTTAGAAGAAATGGGCAGCGAGTCCTCCCACGCACGCTACTGCTACCGCGTATCGGCTTTTGAAATGCAGCTGATTTGATGGTCGAAGTGCATTTATTAAGGAAAAGTTAGACTGAGACACACTTTTACTATCATGTTGAGCAAACAAATAATTGTATTTAAGTGTTAATTTTGTAAAATTCTTGTTAAAATCCTCCTGTGCACATTCCTGCGGCCACCATTTGGCATCCGATCTATTTTTGGCACAACACCGGCTAGGGCTGGGCGATATGGCCTAAAATCAATATCACAATATATTGAGCAGTTCATATCGATAACGATAAATGGACAATAACTGCAACCCCCCACCCCCGAAAATAATATGATAATTCACAGCCAGTTATATTGACGGCATAATTCCCTTTTTATTGCCACTTTAATGAACTTTAAAACTACATCTCCTGCAAATAAATGAAGAAAATGTGCACTTTTAGTTGTTAATAGTTTTTGAACAAATGAGCACAACTGAACAATTTTAGAAGAATAAAATAACTTAACATTCCTGCAAACAAAAAGTATTAAAAATAAAATCTCTTATAAACGAAATGGTCGCATTTGAGTTGTCAAGTATTCCCTTGTAAATAAAACGAAATAATAAAAATTAATTTGCCATTTGGAAAAGTAAACGACGAGTTGTGAAAATATGATGTCACGTGCAAAGGTCTACCTCTCCGTAAAGATCTCTTGTAAACAGTTAGACATTTTTTAATATTATTATTAGCTGCTCCTCTCCCTCCTGGACCAGCTCTGCTGCCACTTCAACTTTCAAACTGTCCTCCATTTTCTCCACCGCACCGTCTCTTTCACTTCTTGTTACAGACGGGATGGGGTGGCGTCACGTGACTACAGACTGCACGTAGCGCAGCTTCTTAAAGGGACGTGAGCATAACTTACCTATACACAGCCAAAAGACAAAACGACTTTTATTTTTTTAAAACACCATAAATGCTGACGTGAGCAAAATGACGTCGCTCGTTGTTATAAGTGTCTGTTAATTTTCGATATATTGCCCCGCCCTAACACCGGCCCACATGTCCAGGTTGTCAGCGGTGACGCATAATAGATGCAACTTATACAGCAAAGCGACGTATTTATGGATTTTTTTCATTTTATTAGACACATTTGGACTGATGCGACGTGTACGGCGTAAAATACGGTACTCTATAAATTATATATTTTCCTCGTGTTATCCTGTACAACACTGTCCTGGTGCTGCAGACGTGAAAGGAGGAAATCTCTTAATTAATCTAGCATCATCCTAAAACGTTTTGGGATGAAGTTTCATGACGACAGTAGAAAAGTTGAGATTTACTCTGGGACATTTATGTTATGGGATGTTTGTTTACTCTGCTTTCGTCTCCCAGGTCAGCGACACAGAAACGCGTCTTGAATGTTTGCTGAACAACAACAAAAACTCAGACTTCTGCGCTCCTCTCACCTCCTTTGACTGGAATGAAGTTGATCCCAACCTGCTGGGTAAAAAAAAAATCAACACAATGAATATTCGTACAATAATTTAGTAATGTGTTTGTTTTGATCTTGATGTATTTAATTTTTTGTCTTGTAGGAACATCCAGCATCGACACCACCTGCACTATCTGGGGACTGGAGACTGGCCAGGTGTTGGGCAGAGTCAACCTGGTCTCTGGACATGTGAAGACCCAGCTGATCGCTCATGACAAAGAGGTGGGCGCTTGTGACTTTTAAAAACGTATTCCCACTGTGATTTGCAGAATTTTAGTGTTTGCTCGAGGACAGACTTTTAAAAATGTAATTTGGTCTTGATCACTCCAAACTTTATGAGAATTTCTCAAAAGTTAATTTATTATTTTTGTCTCCATTTGCCGCCCAGTTTTTGTACGTGACCATTTCAGATTGTTTTCTCAACACTGGTTGAAGGTTATCCTGAAATAAATCAAAATTAAAGGAGTTTAATAATTTTCCAGAAGATTTTTCTGCCTGGATTGTTGAGCGCGCGTCAGGACACTAATTCAGTGAACTGTCAAACTGTCAACAAAACAGGATCGAAAGCAAGCGGAGTCCATCCCTACAGTTTCTGCAATGATCTTGCACGCGCTTTGGGTGTTTTACAAAATTAATTAGCACAGAAAATGTTCAGAGGTTCACAAAATCACAAGTTACGAACAGATGTTTGAGGACAGAGAAGCAAAACCAGCTGCTGCTGGATCGTCCGCACCTTGAAACGGTCGGACGTTTCCTGTGGAGCCGATCAGCAGCTACCTGTCAGGACGCTCCCAGAGGTCCTCGCTATTAAAGAGGGAACTCTCCATCACGAGAGAAAACGCAGAACTCGGAGGAACGTCTCCGTTTGTCCACGGAGGAAACGGTCTTCGTGCAGAGGGAAGTGCTCAGCGTCTGTGTCTCCTCAGGTGTACGACATCGCCTTCAGCCGCGCAGGAGGAGGCAGAGACATGTTCGCCTCTGTTGGTGCCGACGGATCCGTTCGTATGTTCGACCTTCGGCATCTGGAGCACAGCACCATCATCTACGAAGACCCCCAGCACCACCCGCTGCTCCGCCTCTGCTGGAACAAACAGGACCCCAACTACCTGGCCACGATGGCCATGGACGGCATGGAGGTCAGCGAGCTGCTTGTTGCACGTTTAAACTTTAAACGCAAGAGCAGCGTTTTTGACTCGGTGTTTTCTTACGACAGGTGGTCATCCTGGATGTGCGCGTGCCGTGCACTCCCGTGGCTCGGCTCAACAACCATCGCGCCTGCGTTAACGGCATCGCCTGGGCGCCTCATTCTTCGTGTCACATCTGCACTGCAGGTGAGCAGAGCAGGGAGTTGGGGTCGCACAGAGATGGAGCGGGGCGGACGATTTCTGCAGACGCTTCCCTCCACAGATTTAGTTTCAGGAAAAAAAATGCTGCTCGTGTCCGAAATCAACACGTCGAATTGGGACGACTTGTGATCGACCGCAGCAGAAAAAGGACCGTACGGCTAACCGCTTGCAGCTGAAGGCGAAGGGTGGTTAAGTTTTTGTCTGTGTGGAGTCAACCTGATTCAAGATGGCCACCACAGCTAAGCAACATTAGCACACACAGCATGCCAGTTGTACAGACATTAGGAAGACATTTAGCTAAGAGTCACTCCCAACACATAATTCAAACAGATCACCCTACAGCTGTTCTTAATTCTGTGTTAGCAAAATATCTCACGAACCATTGGATGAAACGATGTATATTTATAACTGAATATGTTTGAGAAACAGCCAAATGACCTCAGGAAAAGAAACGGCACATTTTACAGATAAGGGACTAAAATATAGTGTAGTGTTGGATGAGCATCGTCCCTTACGCACTTTATGAGCACAACATTGTTGCCTATAACCTTGGCATTAACGGTTTGTCTGTTAGTAAAATATCTCGTGAACCACTGGACAGATTATAGGGAAACTTTCAGGGAGTAATCATCAACATCAGATTAAATTCAATTTAAATTCAGTTCAGTTTGTTTATATAGCACCAAATCACAACTGAAGTCATCTCAGGACACTGAACAGAAACATTCACATACTTATTAACATCTGGAGTAGGTCTGTCGCGATAAACAATAAATTAATTAATCGCATGATAAATTAAAATTATTATCGACCTCATTTTCATTTATCGACTTTATCGTTTATTCGTGTCTCTTTCTACTGAAGACACTTGATGACAAAAGGCTCAGCTCCGGTGTTCTTCACTGACCCCTCCCTTTCGCTTTTCTCTTTAAAATTTGTTTTAATCGTCCAAAATTGTGTTTTTGGATCGTTTAAAGAAGCTAAGCTGAGAAGCTAAGCTAACGGGCTAAAAAAACCTCCTTTTTGTCAAAGCTCCAAAATTCACGATTGAAACCCGTGTCTTGATGTAAAAAGTTGTTTTTCTCTGCAAAAAGAAGCTGAGAACTTGTTTACTATTTTTTTTAATTAAAAGCTTTGTGTGACACATGCTATGTTAAAGAGCTCAAACCACACAGAGCGTCCGCCTTTTTGAGAATCAAAAAAAAAGGAAGGAGAGACGGCCCATGTCACGTCAAAGGGGCTCCCTCCCATTTTTCTTAAAGACACGCCGCTCGCTCCCTCACTATCCATCCTTCGGTTCAGTCTTATACTGCCATCCGGTGGTGGAAAAAGTTACTACAGTCAAACTAAAAATTACCTACATTTCTTCTTAAATTTGACAATAATTACTAATTATCGTGAAATTTCAAACGATATTATCGTTTATCGCAATAATTTCTGAGACAATTAATCGCCCAGCAACATTTGTTATCGTGACGCCTCAGCCTGCACAAGACAAGCTCTACCTGAGTGAGTTTTACAGATGCGTAGCTAAGACGTGGCGTGGTAGTAGCTGAGAGTTGCCACACATACGTGCGCTGTAGATCATGCGTTATCACGTGACATGTTGCAACAATGGCTTTCCTCATCACCATCATCATTCTCTCACTCAAGGAATCTTTTTTTTTTTTTAAATATCTCCACAGTTCCTTTTGTTCTTGTTCTGATGTTTCTTGTTGTTTTTCCTGCAGCGGACGACCACCAGGCTCTGATCTGGGACATCCAGCAGATGCCTCGCGCCATCGAGGACCCCATCCTGGCCTACACGGCTGAAGGGGAGATCAACAACGTGCAGTGGGCCTCCACGCAGCCGGACTGGATCGCGATCTGCTACAACAACTGCCTGGAGATCCTCCGTGTCTGAAGCCGCAAGAAAAGGAGCGCTGTTTCACATCTGGACTTGTCGTCCTCATCCCTCTGTTTTCAGGGCAGAGGCGAGGCCTCGGCTGAACTTCCTGAACATGTTCGGAGTGTCACACGCCTGGTTTACATTTGTTCTTCATCATGTCTGCTCTGGTTTTTATTAAACGTGCGTGAGTAAGCTCTTATTTATTTTGCTCAGCAGCTGAAAGACGCGTCAGTGCTGTGATTTCGGAGCTGGCGTTCAGTTTTTTTATACTCCTCGGTGTCGTTTCAGCCGGACGAAAGGCTAAAGGGAGGGCGTTGGATGTCGAGGTTGCTCCAAGCTGCTGTAACTGGCAGAAGATGATGACCTCGTTAATATGTAGGTTCATGTTGTAGCCTGTTGGTGGATACATACCATAATTTTGACGAGTATATTTCAGCCCTGTTTGCTTATGTGGCAGTTTCGGCTGCCCTCTGTGTGGATGAGTGTGTGACCTGTGCGACTTTAAAAAAAATGTTAATTAACTTTAGAGGCTCGTGCTGCTGCAGTAACGCTCACACCAGAGCGACCTTCTCAAAAGATCCCCGATTCTTTTCGTTCGTTGAAGCTTGTGTTTTTGAAGAGCTGCGTTTTTATCTGTTCGAGTGAAGTCTGAAGCGAATGGAAACGACTTCCTGTCTTTCTCCCGTGTTCAGTAACGGAAGGGTCCTGTCCTTGTTGCATGCCACTACAAGGCAAAGTGTACATACATATAAATATATCGAACTCGGATGTTGGTTAGCCAAGTGTTCACGTTGTAGCTTTTTTCATAAAGTTTATTATTGAATTTAATAAAACGTATTCCTCCATGTCTTAGAAGCTAACTTCCAGTTGTGTTGCCTTTTAAAATAAAAGTGATGTAAATTAAATGTACTTGTAGGGCGTCTTTTTAGCCGACCGGGCTTCACAACAACCCCCCATTCAGCACTTTACTGGTCTGAACTCAGAACTAGATCCAGGCAGGGTTACTCTCTGACTTTATTTAGACCAGGTTGTTTTATTATATCAAAACATTCAGCGTGTTCAGGATGCTGTCACCGTAAACCCTTTAAAACAACCACAGTTGCAACAAAGGGACGTACATATAAAATCAAGAACATTTAAACAGTAAGACCAATAAAAATGGTTCGGAGCAAATTTCAGGCTGCGCCAAAAGCCAGGGAGTAAAACCGTGTTGGGGTCTCGTCTGATGGGAGGCAGGACATCGTTCCATAATCTTGGAGCAGCTACAGAAAAAGTTCTGTCCCCTATGAGCCTCAGTTTGGACTTCGGCACTTCCAGGATCAGCTCCACGTGATCGAAACAAGTTCAGGGTGGATGCTCCACGTCCAGAGGAGCAAGTCGAGGTGGTTCAGGGATCCGGTTCCCTGGACGCCAACGATGGGAGGAGACCCTGGGGAAGATTCAGGACACCCTGGAGGGACTTGGCCAGGAAACACTTTGGAGTCCTCTGAAGAGCTGACCTGTGGCTTTGGGCCTCCCTGCTCAAGCTGCTGCCCCCATGACCCGACCAGACCAAGATAATGGATGGATGCTGTCAGAATATTTACATTTAGATGTGGATATTGTAGTATGTCATATCCTGAGATATATTCATACATTAAACGGGTTCTTCATTTTTCTGGACTGTATAACATACGTGCATTGAACTTAGATAAAATGTGGACGTGAGACGTTAATTATCTTTGACTCACCAAGCGAGTGGGTCATTTATTAACAGAATCAAGTTTAACACATCACACATTTACATTAATTGGCAAGAATTGGAAAATAACGACATAATCAGCTTTACAACCAGGAAAACCATACGGCCATGATTTTCCGTTGCTACACCACAGACATTTCTGAAAACATCTGGATTAATTTTCTAGCAAATAGGAGAGTTTAAAGATGGAAAGATGAAGTTTATCTGAGAGAGATGTGTGAGGGAATTTGTCTGTTTTAACCAGAACAGCACGCTCCATTGAAATCAGCTTGGGCCAACGGTACGCTTGGTCGAGATAGAACTTTTACCTTGCAGACGATAGCTTCAGCGTCGGTGTAGAGCTCTTCTTTTGACTCTTTCAGCGTCTCCGTGAGAACAGCTAAAAACCTTGGGAGTCGTGTGAGGTTATCCAAACAAAAGTTATAATTCCCAAAATCGTCTCTGGTTCAGCTTGTTCTAATTCAGCAGCATCCTGAATGCCCGCGTTCTGCATTCAGGAACTCCCAAACTCTCTGCATTCTGGATTCCAAAAACTCCTCTACTTGAACTGCTGCTCCATCTTCAAGACTGAGCTTACAGCAGCTTCAAGACTGAGCTGAACTCTCTGTAGAACTCTTTCCATTCTTCTCCTTGAACTAGGAAGTGCCAACCTTTTAAGAAGGGTCACTTCCGGTTCATTTGAGAGCTTTTTGATTGGTCGATGGACCAAAGCAGAGGTGTGGTTTGTGATGTAAGGTGTTATTAAAAGTCAAGGAAAAGATTCAGATTGTTTAAGAACAGACAGAAAGATATCATGGAAAAACCAGACTTAGTGGCGTCTCTCACCAAGTATCTCGCTGTAAAAGTTAAACATGACATTTCTTTTCAGTAAACTTTCAGTTGACCGAAACTCGAACTTTGACACACTTACAAATTTGCTCACTTCAAAGCAGACGATCAAGAAATTGAATCGTTACTCTGTAACGTACTCTAACTTGATTTCACTTTGAATTGAGGATTAAGAATCATTACTACTGTTTAAGTAAATAAAAATGATTAGTTCACTTCAACATGTAGACATTGTTTGAACCAAAACACTTTGATTATCAAAACATTTGTAAAATAGTAATGATCATAGAGAATTGTCTTTTTCCACTTGATTAATTCAAGAAAGAAAGTCTCAGGATGGGTTAACCTGTATTTCTGGATTCAAATCAATGAAATGACAGTTTCAGTCCCATATGGTCAGTTTTGACATCAGGCCTAGTCCACTACAATATCTTCATAAAAACACACAAAGATCTCCAATTCTTTCAAAAACATTGTTCTTTCCAAAATCAACTTCAGCAAATTTGCTCAGTTTTTGATTTCTTATGCTACTGTTAGCATTTAGCTACTGTTTTGGCTACTAACATTCTGCTACTTTTATAGCTAAAGGGTCATAAAATTTTAGGTCATTCAGTATTCACAGAGCATTTTAATTATTATTTTTGCATAAAATCTATCATTTCTAATTTTTTGTAACAAAATTAGGACGTGCCGTCGACTAGAGGGTTCTATTAATTTTACATTGCAAACGTTTAAAAACATTTAATTGATGTTAAATAAAAGTCAAATTATTGAACATAAAATCAAACACTTACTCCGTCTTACAAATAAGTCATTACCGTAATTTTTGGACTACAAGGCGCACAATGTTTTTAATTTTTCTCAGAAATCGACGTTATGAATTAATTCTAGCTGTGCTTATTGACCTCAAACTGATTTTATTTTGTACAACTGAACAATGTTGAGAGTTATTGGGAATAAGTTGACTAAAGTTGGACTTATCTGACTGTTGTGTTTCGCTTAATGTGTCTTACAATCCGAAAAATATGATAATTTAAATGTTAATCGTTTCCACTTTAATCACCAGATTTAATCCAAAGCCTGGATTTCAAGCTTAAAATATCCACTTTGACTAGAATTCATCATCTTTAAATCATAAGTCTCAGTAAAAACAAAGCGATTAAAGGTTTAGAAACTAAAATACTAATTTGTGTCACCAGGTTACTTTAATAAATGGATTGTTACAATCCAGCAGAACCAACAAATCATGAAGCGCTTTACTTTTAAACTTTGAGCAAAAACGCATAAAAACAAACTTTTATGTGAAAAGGCCTGAAGAGGAAAAGCTTGAGTTACTAAAAATGGTTAAAGACGAGAACTTAAAAAGAGCTTAAATAATAAATAAATAAATAAAAACACCACTCAGAATGTGACGGGGTGTGTTATTTGAGTATTTATGGACGTTTTACAACTTTAAAACTCACACCCAAACAACTCGGATAAAAAAGTAGATATCTTTTTTTGTAAAACTTAGAATTGAATCCCACTTTTGTTTCTATTTTTACTTTAGTATTTCTTTCTAAAAACCATTTCACAGTTTGAGCAGTTTCTTAGTTCAACACATTTTTCTCAGTTCTTGTTGCTGCTCAGAGGAGTGGCTCTTCTCGTTTATTCCCGATTCCTCACCACAGACGACCTTCAGACTCATAAAGACATAAAACCCTCAGCTGTTCTTCCTTTAGCTGCGTTTCACAGAGATACAGAAACTCAGACAGGATGTGAGGATTGTTTCGACGAAGGGATTTGAGATGGAGCACAGCGAGCTGTCCGAGCGTAAGTTGAAACCTCTGGTTCCTGGTTTGGTGTTGAAAAATGAATTTACTCTGGTTTTTCTTGTTTTCTGCAGGGGATGGCTGGTGCACGTCCCCGCTGAAGGTTGTACTTCTCGGAGGAAGAAACTCTGGGAAGAACTCAGTGGGGAACCTAATCCTGGGGAAAGAGGAGTTTGTCACCAGAGAGCGGACGTCCTGCTCTCGGAGGCTGGGGGTGGTGGACGGACGCTGGCTCACGGTGGTGGACGCTCCAGGCTGGTGGTGTGACTTCAGCGCTCAGGACACGTCCAGGCTCGTGAGAAGGGAGATCCTGACCAGCGTGTCCCTGTGCTCCCCGGGCCCTCATGTGTTCCTGATCACTGTGAAGGCCAGCTCAGCCTTCTCAGAGAGGCGCCGCCGAGCTGTGGAGGAGCACGTGTCCCTGCTGGGACACGATGTGTGGAGACACTGCATCGTTGTCTTCACCTTCGCTGGCAGGTCTGAGCACACCGAAGCTCAGCAGGTCCTCGAGAGAGGAGGAGAAGGCCTCAGGTGGCTCACGGAAAGGTGTGGACGGAGGTTCGTTGTCCTGAACGGTGGAGCAGACGGGACAGAGCTGCTGCTGAAGATCCAGAAGCTCATCACAGAAAATGGAAACGGGGCGTTCGAGGTGCGGGACAGCATCTTACAGGCCGCGGCGGAGGAGAAGCGAAGGGTGGATGAGAGGGCTCAGATGAGATTCATGAGAATGAAACGACACAGGTGTCTGATGAGAGGTGAGCCATTAAAATCAATCAAACACAACCTTAACGTCCTGGGAAACGTAACTTGGGTTCAGATATAATTTACGCCCTCGTAATAATTCGCCCACAAGTCATTTGTGTATTGCACTCGATGTTTCTGCAGATCTGATTGTTTCCTCGATAAATGTTCTAAAATGATACTAAAAGCATCCATCCATCATACTTAACTGCTTCGTCCTTTTCGGGTTGCGGAATCACTGGTGTCCATGTCCAGCTATCACTGTGCGAGAGGCGGGGGACACCCTGGACTGGTCTCCAGTCCATCACAGGGACACAGAGACAAATGAGACAAACGACCATTCACTCTCTCACTCACACCTAGGGACAATTTAGAGTTACCAATCAGTGCATGTTTTTGGTCTGTGGGAGGAAACCGGAGTACCCGGAGAAAACCCACGCATGCACGGAGAGAACACGCAAACTCCACACAGAAAGGTCCCGGGTTGGGATTTGAACCGGCAACCTTCTCGCTGCGAGGCAACATCGTGTTGCCCATACTGAAAACAAATCCCATTAAGAAAAAGATTCAAAATGATCTGCCACAGCAATCGCTGCTACTTCTAACATTTTAGCTGCTTTCAGTTTGAGACTTTTGCTATTTTTAGCTTTTAGTCAACATTTTGCTACTTTTTCTTTTAGCGAGCCCACGTCTAAAGCAGGAGGCTAATCTCCATTTAAAATCATGATCACCTACAACAAACAATAAGTAAAATGGCCTCACTGGCAGTAATAGTGACTCATTACGTGGAGGAGACGAGTCGAGAAGTGGATTTATTTCTGGGTTGAATTAGGATCATTGAAAAGACATCTGTTTTTTCTGACCACTTAGTGGTCTGCACAGTTTTCACATCATTTAATGAGCCTGAACATAGATTCTTATTTGCCCAAACCATCCAGAACCATGCAGTTAAGAAAGGGCCGGTTTCTACATTTCCACACGATTTGATTATTGTCTAATATCTGGGTAATTTGCACAGAATTTTTATGAACATTTAAAAGTAAAATCAGTAATTCTGACTGAAAAACGGCAAATATACAATCACCTTCAAATATTCCTGTGATTCCCCCCCCCCCCATATCAGGGGTATTCAACTGGTGGTCCGGGGGCCAAATCAGGCCCACGGATGAGCTCAGGTAGGCCCACAAATTTTTTTTTTTTAATTTAGCCTTTATTTATCCAGGTTAGTCTCATTGAGCCACGAGAACTCATTTTCAAGAGAGACCTGTTTAGGGAGCACATGGTGGGGGTTAAGGGCCTTGCTCATGGGCCCAGAGTGGGGCGAATGAGGGTGGGGGCAAGTATGAGTGTTTCACCTACCCCACCCACAATTTTGATGTTGTCGGGGCCGGGGCGTGAACCGGCGATCTTCGGATCACAAGCCCACCTCTCTAACCTCTGCGCCACCACTCCCCAAACAAATGGGTTTAGTTTTAAAGAAAACTATATTTTAAACCATCAAACAAACGTATTTAATGGCAATTGCTGGATGTCCCTGAGCTCTTGGCTCTCAGTAACTGTGGCTAGGCCTGTCACGATAACAAATATTGCTGGGCAATTAATTGTCTCAGAACTTATTGCGATAAACAATAATATTTTTTTTTTTTTTTTTTTTTTTTTTCCCCTTTTTGTGATGGCCTCCCTTCTCCCCTTACAGCCATCCTCTCCACACCATTATTATTAAATATTTATTATAGTGACATTCTAGTGTAGGTTTTTTTTTTTTTTTTTTTTTTTTTTTTTTTTAATAGGATAGGAAAAAAGAAAAGACAAAGTAAGACTCCAAAATATAAGAAATATATACAAATAGAGCACACGTCAAAACACCCGGCCACTGTCTGTTCACCTGCAAAGAACATGACAAAACACAGCAACAAAATACATATGTATAAAGAACTTAAAATATTCATGGCTTTGCAGTAAGTTTCAATAAATATATATACCCATACCTACGCCTATATACATACATACATACATACATACACATGAATATACACTCACATACATATCTATATATCTACATATAAAGCCTACATAAACATCCCTGCTTCTATTTGTGTGTGGTTGTGAGCATGCATAAGTGTATAAGGCTTCTCTAATAGAACATTTATTAGTAATTGTGAAGCAGCAGAGACCCGACCCCCAAGACCAGAGGCAGACGAAAAAGTGGGGACCAGAGCCCAAGACCCCAGGAGGGACCCCGACCGCGGAGCCCCCAGAGCCACCCACACAGGGCGAACAACCCACCCACCCCCCAGAAGGGACCACAGGGGAGAACCGGAAGATCCCCACCAGCAACCACATACAGTGACCCCCCGGGGCCAACAGCGACAAACTCATAGGCCTCCGTCGGCACCCGCCACACCGATGTAGGTCCAGGTCCAGGCACCGAGGCCCGGGCACCGAGGACTCACACCACCCAGGCCAAGGCCCGACAGGGCCAGAGGACCCGAGCCCCACCAGGCAGACACCAGGCCGAGCCGACACACGCCCAAGCGCCCAGCCCCCGATACCAAGGGCCCCAAGCACGCCGGCAGGCAAGGGCACACCCCACCAGGGGGCCGCGCGATAGGGGCGCGATGCCAAGCACCCCCAGTTGTATCAAAGAGGGGGCAGTCCGAGTCTCGGCCTAACAAATACCCATTCATACACATACACAATCACACTATCCCAACCTCAATCTCACATTCATTCACTCAAAGACATACAATAACGATACATTTCATTCTTATTCCCGATACACACTCTATACCCCCCAGGTCCAAGACATGTACCCGCCCTCTACAGGGGGCAGCCCATGCCCAAACCCAGGAGGTAAACCCATTCATTCCTGAGTGGAGAAGAGCCAATACCCCAGACCCGGCCCAGGCCATGCCCCGCCGACAGGATACCCCCCCCACCATGAAGAGGACACGCCACCGACCACCCCCACACACCGCCAACAACCAAGCACGCACCCCCAGCCGACCGCCCGCCAGGCCCCGGCAGCCACCCCGGCCAGCGGGCCAACCATGGCACCCAAGAGCCAAGCTCAGGGGGTCCAAACAACCCCAGGGAGAGCACAGCGCCAGCACCGCCCATGGCAACCCCCAGACCCTGAACCCCCACATAGTCCTGGTCAACACCCGACGGCCTGCCCTTCTCCCGGACCCCACCCCCGGAATGGCAGTCAGGGAACTAGGTGGGTAGGAAGAGGAGAAAAAAATAAAATAAAATAAATAAATAACTAAAAATAAGACCCCGACACATACACCCCCACCCCTAGATGTGCTGTTGATGTGTGTTGTTGTATAGTGCCATTAAAAAGGAAAGAAGAAGGAGCAAAGGCTGGCATGGTGCCAGTTTCCCCTCCACCCCAACTCTATCCAAACCCTAGTGTCTAAATGCAACCGTTGTGAGCACAGGCACAGGGGGTGAGAGTAAGGTCATCCCACCACCCATAGCCATGTGCCCACCTCAAATTCCTATATATGAATGTCATGAGGATGTTATGAATGAATGTCTAAGG